TATATAATAAATATATTTTATATTTCTTTTTTGAAATTTATTTTCCAAAAAAGGACTTTTTTCCCCATGTATCTGCATATTGAATATATATAGCCATGGGTGTATTAATAACAAGCCCCTGAAAGCTTACGATCATTGTAAGGATGTTTACAACTAGGACTTTTTTCCATGGTGGATCATGTATTTTCACTTGTTATAGGACTTTTTTATCGGAAACTTTTTTTCCAAGAACTTTTTTGCCGATTACCATAAATCTCAGGAGGGTCAACGAATTAAAACAACCAGAAATGGTTAGGCTGTAGCCCTAACAAATAATCATTTATTTATCTTTTGTCTCTCTTTCGTCCTTTTTAAATTCTGACATCATATCGAAATACCAAAATGCAAAGAGATAAGTGAAAGAAATTACGCGATAAAATAGCAACTATTTCATAACAATAATCTTACTTAAAGATAACTAACTCCCTTCTCTTTACTGTCAATGTGTATTTTAAATAACCTTTCGAAATAGCAGAGTACTCACATTTATCACAGGGATACCTCATTCCTTCATGTTTACTCTCAATATGTCTCTTTAGACCTTTTTTGTAGTTGAAGTGTACTCACATTTATCACGGGGATACCTCACTCCTTCATGTTTACTCTCGATAGGTCTCTTTAGACCTTTTTTGTAGTTGAAGTGTACTCACATTTATCACGGGGATACCTCACTCCTTCATGTTTACTCTCAATATGTCTCTTTAGACCTTTTTTTGTAGTTAAAATGTACTCACATTTATCACAGGGATACCTCAATTCTTCATGTTTACTCTCGATAGGTCTCTTTAGACCTTTTTTGTAGTTAAAATGTACTCACATTTATCACAGGGATACCTCAATTCTTCATGTTTACTCTCGATAGGTCTCTTTAGACCTTTTTTTGTAGTTTAAGTGTACTCACATTTATCACAGGGATATCTCTCTTCTTCATGTTTACTCTCAATATGTCTTTTTAGATCCCTTTTAGTAGTTGAAGAATAATCACATTTGTTACCGGGATATCTAACTCCTAAATGTCAATTTTCAATTTTCACCATAAGAATATATTTCACCTTCTACTTTCCTCTTCTTAGTTTTCTTTAATTTATATCGGAGACGATCCTCTTTATTGGTTTTCATAATGTCTAAAAAAATAGATTAGAAAAAGTCAAAATTATAATTCTGATTTATTAAGATTATCAATTATTATTATTTTTATTATTTCAATAGACACGTATGCGTAGTAATTGAAATAAGTTGCCCAGTGATGGTATACATGGTGTTTTGAATGCATCTATCAGCAACGTCTTCTTCGCTGACGAACTTTGTTAAAAAAAAACAGCATTTAATTTATTTCCGTACAGGGGGGAGAATGATTAGCAAAAAATGTTGAAAATAAATAAAAGCGATAAGGAAAAAACCTTTCTTATTGATCACTGAAATATTCAATGAAAAGATGTTAACTCTTACCTTGAGATTCAGTAATTTCCACCTTAACATCTTATTCTTTTGTATAAACTGTATGTATCCTCTTCTTACTGAATCTCTTCTTTAATCTCAATATTCATAATTTCCTCACTTATGATTCCAGCCATTCTTTCTGAAATTTGTCATTACAGATTCAGCATTGACTGTCTGTCACATGGTAGATGTTGCACGTGGAAGTCTTAGTGGTCACGCTGTCTGAAGAATTTCTTACTCTCGACAGTTACACAGTGAACATGAGACAACAGCTTCATACTGAAATTAAAGATTCAATAAACCATTATCAAGATGAAATGGAGTCCTTGTAATTTAAACTTTCTGGTGACCTTTCACATCAACAATGAAACCCTTTACACTGAGATCTGATCAATTGTGTGAAATATATTGTCGTTTTTCTAGCTTGAAGAGCTTAAGGGGACTGTAAAGGAAAAATGAAAGGGGGTATAGGATGAAACCTGAGAATCTCAGGCGTTGAATAATACATCTATCTGATGTTCCTGTCTGGCTTGAGAAATTGATATAAAGCTGTGTCAAATTTTTACGAAAATTCATATGTATGCAATTTTGTATAAAAGTTGTAGGTTTAAACAGATCATATTCAGCAAATACGAAAAAGACTATATCCTACAAAAAAAAATGTCTAAAATAGTTCAAAGCACATATTTGTAGTTTGTCAGTTAATTTGATAAGAAACCACAATTGAACTCTCATCAACCATCAGTTTTGAACGAGGAGATGATGGATATCTTATACTTTCTTAATCAACCAAAGCTTTAAAGGGTACCTTTGTAAATTGGACAAGCTTCTCAATAAATTAACAGTTAATCAAAATTAAATCTTAGAAAAACAGGTAAAACAGAGATCGGTTGTAATAGTGAAAAATATAAAACTGAGAAAGAATAAATATTTTCATTTTATTCTTAATGCGTTGTAGATTAATTTCATGATCAAAATTGAAAAATTTGATTTTGAAAGTTTATCTTTTCTTTATTTTATATTATTATCCGAAAGTTATTTATTTTTCATATGAAATTATCTATCTATCCTTATGTACCGAATAGAATTCCAATCCTACCCAATCATTTGCAATTATTGTGGGAATTAAATAATTTTCAAAAGAAAAGGAGGGTAACAATTATTGAAGTTATAAATTACTTTCTTTATTTCTTTGTATTTTCTTATTGTTTTTAATCGTGTCATTTGCATAAAGTGTTTTTCTCAAAATTATTTTTAGAATAAAATTGTAATAATTAAACATTTTTAGCGAGGAAAACGACGATATATGCACAAAAGTGATGAGATGAAGGTTTAATGGGTACCATTGAGAATATAGCATACTTGGTTTTATAAAAAAAAATTTTTTTACAAATTTTTCAATTTTATTGTAGAGTAGTGAATACCTAGTTAGTTTTTATATACGTCATTATAGGTTTTAATATAGGCCTTAGTAAATTCCCGCATTATCGCTGCTTTTTTTCCCCTCGGGGCTGGGGTGGAAGAAGGCCTTCCTGGCTTGTTGCTTCTTCCATCCATCAGCGGACCGTTTCTGCTTCTTCTTCATCCCTATTCCCTGAGGAACACTTCCTTCAAGTTGAGCTTTTCTTTCTTCCTCGGGGCTGGGGTGGAAGAAGGCCATCCTGGCCTGTTGCTTCTTCCAGCCATCAGCAGACCGTTTCTGCTTCTTCTTCATCCCTATTCCTTGAGGATCACTTCCTTCAAGTTGAGCTTTTCTTTTTTCCTCGGGGCTGGGGTGGAAGAAGGCCATCCTGGCCTGTTGCTTCTTCCAGCCATCAGCAGACCGTTTCTGCTTCTTCTTTATCCCTATTCCCGGAGGAACACTTCCTCCAAGTTGATCCTGTCCTTAAAAAAAATTCTTAAAATCTTATTGATTTTTAACACTCGGTTTATTTTTTAAAGTTATTTTTTAAACTTTGAAAATCAAACAAAAATGCTATTTTTTATAATATTTGTTGTGCGTTTTGAGATATGCTTTGTCTTGTGTTTGTAAAATAACATTTTCAAAAGAACTAACAATGACATTTTTACTGTCTTCAAAGAAATAAAAACACTTGTACAATGATAAGGCAGTTGAGGAAATAAATTATCAATTTTTAAACAATGAATTCTATGAACTATGAAAAGTCAAAGTTTGAAATAAGGTTTACACCATCAGGTTTCAATTATATAGGGATTAGAAAATTAGAAAATTAGAAAATCTTTCGCCCCTTTCAAAACTAATCCCCCCNCCCCCCATAAATTAAATATGTTTGCGCTGAGCATCAAATAAAATGGTAGGGTTTATTTGCTGAATTTTTTGTATGAATGGTAAAAATAAGGATAAAAACATGCCTTTTGACATCATCAAGTTTTTCCCCCCAGATCATTAAAAATATTTTTTTTCCTAAATAAGTTATATTTTTTTGCTCTGAAAATCAAAAAAGTCTTTAGGGTTATTGCTGAATTTTCGGGTGAAAATTAAGAATTAAAAAGATAAAAACTTGCCTTTTGATGTCAAATTTTTGTTTTCTTTTTTTTTACTAAAATTATTCTCTACAGAAGTTATGTTTGATTACGCGGAGTGCCGTAAAAATGTTCATTGTTTTACTTGCTAATATTTTATTTAAAAATATTTAAAAGGATAAATTAGGGTGTGGTAACAGTTCGCCCAATAACGATTCACTCAATCACGTTTCACCCAAAACGTTTCACCCAATTTTTGGTAAAATAACATTTCCCCCAATTCACGTTTCACCCAATACATACGTTTCACCCAAATTACGTTTCACCCAAATTATGTTTCACCCAAACTACACTTATTAAAGAGTTTCACTTTTTTTTTTTCTTCTAAAACATACATTGCCGATGAGTTATGATTTCCGATCATAACTCCAAAACCCCTGGACCGTTTTACCTCAAATTTTGATTGGGAAAAACAAGAGAATTGTGGAAATGTTTTTAGATTGGTTAAAAAAATCTAATCTGATTGGGTCGACTCATATATACAAATACATTAATGCAAATTGTTGTAAATCCGCAACTTTTTTGTTCGAAATCTGCAAAACCACATTTTATCTGACCATGGCGACACAGTTACATGTATCTAAGTACATCTCCTCAAAAAGGGGGAAGCCCATTCTTATTGATCAACATAGACATAAATATCGACTCATGCATAAATTGAGCAGTAATTAGAACTGTAACCTTATCTATACAATTTTAATAAATTAAAAGATATAATTTTTAAAAAGTCAAAATAAATTTTGCAAGATTTTTTTTGGGGGGGTTAAACTCTTAAGTTAGTGTAGTTTGGGTGAAACGTGAGTTGGGTGAAATGTATTTTGGGCGAAACGTGAATTGGGTGAAACGTTATTTTGGGTGAAACATTATTTTGGGTGAAACGTTATTGGGTGAAACGTTTTGGGTGAAACGTGACTGGGTGAAACGTTATTGGGCGAACTGTTACCACACCTAAATTAGCATAAATTTTTCATTTTTTCTCCGCATAATTCAGACTCATTTAATATATGAGGGCCCCCTATGCGTGCTAAGATGATATAATAGGATTAATAATGAATCGTATGGTAAGATGAATGAGAAAAGATCAAATCAGAGTAGGATGTAAAACAAGGTGAATAGTTTAGAGGGTTTAGAGGGAGCATACTGAGTAAGAGTACTGCAATCCCGGAATCCAACAGGGGTGAACCGACACAACAGAAAAATTATTGAAATAACAGATTTAACTTTATATTAGTTTCTAATTCTTTGATCCATCAGGAAAAATGTCATTTACATTTCTTTAAAAATTTACCTTGAATTCCAGTATTTTCCATCTTTATGACTTCTTCCTTTACATAAACAGTACATGTATCCTCTACAGTAGAGGAGGGAAGGATATTTTCCTGAATCTCTTCTTTAATCTCAATATTCTCCATCTTTAGTTCCTCCTTTGAATTTCCTGCCATTGTCTCTGCTAGAAGAAATATCATTACATTGTTTAACAATAGTACACGGTTACACCCTCTCATACAATATCATTGAAGAGCATCGAATACAGTGTTTATCATAGAGTAATAAAACGAAGAGGTAAAGCTTAGCTCAGATGTACACAACAGACCTCCCTAGCAATTAATCAATAGAGTGGTCGGTTGAGTACATCAGAGATATTTTAATTTCTATCCCTTGCACATATAAAAATTATGTAGCGGTAATTCGCAATATCATAGTATCGGAATCGAAAAAAGGTTTTGTTCAATTTGTGTTTTCAGGTCGAAATACAGTACCCCGGACTTTCTTTTTAAAGCCCAGGCCAAATTTCACGTCACACCGGCGTTGCCCGTTTAATTTTTTAAAATCGAATTTACAAGAATAAAAAGTTTTAATTCATTTTAGCCTATGTTACTTCGGAGATACCCCCGGGGTTCTCTCAAAAAAATATCAGGCCATTCGGTTCAGCTGTTTGGCAGACTATATGAAACATATATACGATTATAGGCTTTTTATTATATAGGAAGTTGACTGGTCCAGCGTTTCCCATGCAATATTTAAATCTTATTTTATAGAAGAAAAAAGTTGAATTTATATATAGACTATGATAATCCTGGTACACCTCTGGATTCCTTCATAAATGGTCAAGTCATTCAGTTCAACTGTTACACCAGCTGTAAGGAACATAAATAAATTGAAATATTTTATTGTATACAATGCTGAACGGTACGGCGTTGCCTGTGAATTTTTTTAATCGAATTCTAAAGAAAAATTTGAATTTTTTTTACTCTTATTTTTTACAATACTATTGCAAAGTATAATATCCTTTACGATATTTCTTGGTTAAAAAAGTCACCAATATTTAGAAAATGTTCAAATAAAAGTTCAAATTGTACGTGAGATCAGAACTTTTGTTAGGATATTTCTAATCTTTACCATTTAAATTGGATATGAGAGCACCAGGCGCGTACACAGGATTTTAGCCAGGGGGGCAAGATTTCGCGCGAAGCGCAAACATTTATTTTTGCCCCCCCCCTCGCTGTTTTTTGCCCCCCCCCCTGGAATTGTTTTGTTCTAAAAGTCAATTAACACCATAAAAATACATCAAAAAGACTACATTTTTGGGTGTTACTAACCTTATAGAGTCTAAAAATTATTCCTTTGCTCGAAAAACTAACTTTAACTTTAACTTTTTAACTTTATAAATTTATAAAGGAAACGAGTCTTTGCAACAAAATCTTATTTTCTAATTTGTATATCTTCTCAACCAAATATCCTAAACCTTAGATATTTCAAACTATGAATTCTGTTAGATCAAATAGTCTAAGTTTGAAATATCAAAGGATTACGCTATTGGGTGGTATAGATAGATAGGTATAGATAGGTGGTATGGATATAGAGGTTTGAAAATTTGAGTTTGTGCCAAAGACTCAATTCCTTTATAAAATGACTGTAAGAAAAAATATAACAATAGAAAATAGAATACCTTTATTACATCTTACATCATGTTATGAGCATATCTAATATGTCGAGGTCTCGTTTTTGCAAAAGTTTTAGTTTAAAGTATCTTAAAATTTTGTGTTAACAGTGAATTTAGACAGATCCTTAGTCTTTGTCATTTTCAGGTGTTACTTTTTAAATTTGTTTCCTTTTAATTTTGTATTTTCCAGGGGGGGGGGCAAGATGACTACTGCCCCCCCTGTGTACGCCACTGGTGAGCACATTTATATTTAAGGAGCAAGGCTGGATGCAGAATATAACCATAACGGGATTGAATTACTTTGAATAAAGCTGAGATCAATATTTATTTACAGATTTAAATTTTTATAAATCATCCTTTGTTGCTGTGTTTGAGAAGAAAATCCACCACTTTCTCCAAGATGTTCAGAGTTTGATCAGTCTCTAAAATAATATTAGTCAAGTATTGGGATACTCGGGTTATTTACTATGGAATGAGACTTTAGCAAATATTGCAGTGCATTTTTAAAGGTTTTATCTTGCATTCTGGGTTACTTGGAAGTTAAAGGGAGTGACCGGCTATGTCAGGTAGTTGAACTGAGTATGCAGTGTTCTGGAAAGCTTCTTTCGGATTCATTTGAGACATATTAAACTTTTTAAAGATCTGTAAATCCTGAGTTTGAGCGCAAATTTTACGTTCAAAACTCCCACATTGGGGGTGGATACATTTCCAGAATTAGTTTTTTTTTAATTATTAAATAACAACGACATAAATTGTAAAAAAAGTTCTACAATAAACTACGGATGTCATATAAAGGAACATGTTGAGAAAATAAAAATTAATCTTATCATCGAAAATAAGTAATCTTGTTCAATTATTAGTTTCTATTTTCTCATTATTCTGGTTTCTCATTATTCACAAAGATTTTCTCAGATTTTCTAGAATTATTATTGAAAAGACGACATTTGAAAAAAGAAAATCACGGCACACCGGTCGTTGTCCATTAAAATTTTTTAAAATCGAATTTTGAAGAATAAAAAATTTGAATTTATTTTAGTGTATGTCACTTACGTGATACTCGTGGGTTTTTTCAAAAAAATATAAAACCATTTGGTTCAGCTGTTTAGCAGAATATGTACGATTTTGGATTTTTTTATTATATAATAAGTTGATGGGCCCAACGTTTCCCAAGTAATATATTAAATCTTATTTATAGAAGAATTTGAATTTATAAATACTATGATAATCCTGGGACAGCTCTGGATTCCTTCAAAAATTGTCAAGGCTTTCGGTTCAACTGTTTCGCCAGCTATAAAGAACATGAATAAAAATGTAACCTTTGATTCTATTGTATGGTGAAGGGTTTGGGGTTGCTCGTGCAGTTAATAAAAAAGAAAAAAATTGAATTTATATAGCCTAAGATAATACTGCGTCACCTCTGGATTCCATCAAAAATTGTCAACGTCATTAGGTTCAATTGTTTCGCCAGGTATAAGGAATATTAATAAAAATGTAAAATTTTGTTCTATAGAATGCTGAAGGGTCTGGCGTTGCTTGTGCAGTTTTTTAAATCAAAATTTTAAAGAGAATTAATTTGAATTTTTTAAGTTTTTGTTACCACCAACCAGGCTTATTATTGGGTTCCCTTCAAAATATATTACATGTCATTTAGTTTTGTTCTTTTTACCAGCTGTTAGAAACATAATACAAATGTATATGGTCATTATTTATGGAAAGCAGAAAGGCTGGGCGTTACACGTTTATTTTTTAAAATCGAATTTTGAAGAATAAAAAATTTGAATTAAAAATATTAGGCCATTTGGTTCAGCTGTTTGGCATGCCATAGGGACCATATATACGAGTTTAGACTTTTTATCCTGGGACAGCTGTGGATTACTTCATAAATTGTTAAGTTATTCGGTTCAACTGTTTCGCCAGCTATAAGGAACATAAATAAAATTGTAATAGTTTACTAATAATCAAAAAGAAGCGTTTTCAATGGACAGCAATTCTCTTTTTTTCTATGATTGTGTATTCATACTGTTTAACAACTTAATATAAATCAAAATTTAAATCGAAAGTAGTCTTCATTGTATTGATATAATGCAATTCTAATTCAAATTTTTAATTTTATATCTTGTTTATGTTTATCATTCTTTATAATAATCAGTGTCATCTGAGGATTAAGAATGTCCATTGCTATACAGACGACATTTACCTATATTGGAGGGCACCCAGAGTATATCTAACTTAACTATACAACCTTTGGCAAAATATATTTTTTTTACGGGAGAGCGTGTACATTTAGTTTCACTGTTATTAATGGTTTATCCTTGGAATTTAAGGTAATTACCCCTCATATCTCGTGCTCTGCTAGAGTTTAATGGAAAATCATTTAACACAAATTGTTGTTGGAATTTCAAATCTTTTAAAATGATATTAGAGCTAGGGTTTAACCGATTATAGTTAAACCCAGGTTCGATATGTTTCATAATCTAGAAATTGTGACAAGAGTCTAAAAAAAATAAGAGTTACATCCTAATAAATCCCAATGAAAGTCAAAATATTCGTGTCCAGTTTGAAATTAAAAAACTAGAATATTGTAAAATTTCAAGAATTTGCAGATATATGTTTGCTGCCTTACAAACTAAACAAATAAAAATACCAACTTTGACAAGAAATTTCTCGAAATTATGAAATAATAATAAACTAAGGTAATACAATGAGCACCAAAAAACTCTGGAACAGGAAGACGACTTTTAGACTCGATTTATGACTCTAAATAGTCCAAAAAACTTTAACTGTGCGGTAGAAACAAACCAATTTCACTTATATCACTATAGGTACAACTATTGCTTTGTAACAACATTAAATACATTTAAATATTGCTTTAATGATTATTATAGTTCAACAAAATATCTGCCCACTTTTCCAGTAGATTTAGAACTTTATCATTTCGTCCTAAAATAATAGTAGTCAAGTATTGGTATTGGTATTGGTATTATTAGTCAAGTACACAGGTGTTTACTATGGATGAGACTTTAGAAAATATTGCAATGAATTTGTTTAATTTTTCATCTTGCTATCAGGGTTACTTGGACGTTAAAACTTATTTACTTTTAAGGCTGAATCATTCAGGAATAATTTAAATACTTAAATGAATGTATAAACTAAACACTGAACCGTAATCGTAACTTTTTAAGTTGAGTTTGAAATATTTTTGGGTAACGAATGTCCGAATTTAATATATTTAAGCCGCGTCTCAAATCCCCCCAAAACCGGTTTAAATTAAGTGCTGGCTAAAATCTTAAAAGATTGTATACAATTTTAAGTGGAACCAACTTTTTTGTAGTTAAAAAAATATGATAATTACCTGAACTAAAGAGAAAATAAATGCAAAAATCAAAACTTCTACTTCAATTTTTACGCGGACATCTTGGCCACAATCGAAAGTTTCTACTTCAATTTTTACGCAATATCACATTTTCAAATTTAATTTTCAGTAAAAATATAAAAATCTTGTGGTTGAATGGAAATCTTCATGATTTTCAGATAGTCTTTATAATAAAATTATTGCCTTATATGTAAAGATTTTAAAATGATAGCTTTAAATTTATGAAAAAGTTGGATCAGATTATTTGACGTATGTAACAGCATTTATAAGACAGATTTTTAAAATTATTTAAATATGAAAATAAATTATTATCCATTAAAGGGAGTGACCGGCTATGTATGGTAGTTGAACTGAGTATGCAGTATTGTGGACAAATTCTTTAGGATTCAATTGAAACATATAAAACTATTCTACGAAGTATATTTAGTGAGTTTGATCGCAAAGTTGAATTTCAAAATAATCTTTTTGGGTGCAGATACGTTTTGAGAATCGGTTTTTTAAAATTATTAAATATCGACGACGAAAAATTAAGTAAAAATTATTCAGTAAACTAATTAGGTGTTTAGGAACATATTTCTCAAAAGAAATTTGTCAATAAATCAATGTCAGAATCAATTATTTCGTTTTTATCATTATATTGAATTTCTTATTTTCTATGATTTTTTCTACAAATTCTTCAAATGTCAACTTCTTCAATAAAAATCCAGAAAATTTGCAGAAAATCTTTGTGAATAATGAGAGATTATAGAAACTAATAATTGAATAAGAATACGTATTTTCGATGATAAGAATAGATTTTTATTTTCTCACCTTGTTCCTAAACAACTAATTAGTTTACTGAAAAATTTTGTTTACATTTTTTGTCGTCGTTATTTAATAATTTAAGAATAACCGATTCTCAATATGTATCTGCACTCAAAAAGATGATTTTGAAAGTCGACTTTGCGCTCAAACTCAGTGATTATACATCGTAGAATAGTAAATTCAAATTTGAATATATAAAATTATATTTTATATCGATGTAGTTCACCTCTTCGTCCTCCTTCTCGGCCTCCTCCTCTTCCACCTCCATGTCCTCCTTGTTGTTGTCCTCCTCGTTGTCCTCCTCGTTGTCCTCCTTGTTGTCCTCCTTGTTGTACTCCTCGACGTCCTCCTTGTTGTCCTCCTCGTTGTACTCCTCCTCTTCCACCTCCTCGGACCCAAGGTCCTCCTCCTCCTGCTCCTCTTCTGCGTCTCCTTTGTGCTAAATATTAATATTAAATAGGATATTAAATTGTACTGGGAATGTTAATAGTTTTTGAGATCGATCATATCATTAAATAAGCTTTTTTTAATTAGATTCAATCGTTTATGGGTTTTAGAAAAGGAAAATGATTGTTTTTGAAGACTATTGTTTTTTAAAACTATAAGCGAACATTTTCATATGATTGTTTTTTTTGCAAAATTAGGGTTGTTATTGTTAACGATAGTTATTGAAGGATTGTAATTGTCTTAAATACAGAAAAAAGTTGTATAAAAACTAAAACATCTTGATAGTTTCTTTAAAAGTACTTAATGATAAGTACCGATGCCCTACAGGTAGGGTTGGGCACGTTATGACTTTTTTGAAATTGTTCCGTTTTCGTTCCGTTCTATTCTAAGTAGAAAAACGGTCCTCTCGTTCTGTTCCATACTTGGCGTTCTTAGTCGAAGATCGGTTCCATCCCTCTTGTTCATTTATGTCTGGTCTTTTTTTTGTTCAATAAAATTTTGAAAGAGAGAGCTTTTGTGTAGGGGGGGNCCCCCCCCCCCCCCGTCAACACCCTTTGTCAATAAATACTTTAATGCAGTGCTTAGGATCCGGATCCGTTGGATCCGCAAGATTTTGGCTTGCTGGATCCGGATCCGTAAAAATATGCGGATCCACGGGTCCGGATCCAAGGGGTAATATATCAACCAAAAACTGCAAAAAAAACCTTTTTTACTCCTAAAACCAAAATCTGAACTTTTGAAAAAAAAGAGAGATTATAAAATTTCCTCATTTCTGAATGTTCATCAAGTTTTAGGATAAAAATATGCGAGAAAATAAAATAAAAAAATCAGTAAATTTTAAAGAAATGACCTGGATCCGGATCCATTTTTTCCCAGTGTGGATCCAGGATACGGATCCGCATCAAATTAAATTGATCCCAAGCACTGCTTTAATGGAATATATGCGTAATTACAAGTGACCCTCTATTTATAAAGAGGCATGTCCGCTGTGCCTTTGCAACCTTCATTTCTACATCATTTTTATAAGTAACTAATGCACGAGACACTTTTGTACCACCAATGAAAATAAATAGCTTTCAAAAAGAAAAACATGAAAATTTAATGCGTACATGATCAGATCAAGCTTGTAAGTTTATGGACTTTAGAAAATGAAGAAAAAAAATCAGTAAATGGAATAAAAATGGTAATGAAGAGCTTAAAAATACTGCTACAAAATCAAGAATTTGTGGGATTCATCCGGGAGCATAGGAAAGGGGGGGGGGCACTCGGTGTATGTGCCACCCCCCCTTAAATGGGGCGCACGCATATAAGGGAAAATTTACCTTGAATTCCAGTATATTCCATCTTTATGACTTCTTCCTTTACATAAACAGTACATGAATCCTCTACAGTAGAGGGAAGGATATTTTCCTGAATCTCAATATTCTCCATCTTTATGGCTTCTTCCTTTACATAAACAGTACATGTATCCTCTACAGTAGAGGAGGAAAGGATATTTTCCTGAATCTCTTCTTTAATCTCAATATTCTCCATCTTTATTTCCTCCTTTAAGTTTTTGGCCATTGTCTCTGCTAGAAGTAATCTCATTAAATTGTCTAACAATAGTACACCCTCTCCAATATACAATATCATTGAAGAGCATGTGGCAGCAAATATGTATTTCTTTATTAAAGTTTACTCCATATGTGTTTCCTTAGCTGGTGTATTGTAGTTTTAAGACATAAGATACAATTTGGGTGACATAATGTGATCTGGTGCTATGGAAAGGCCTTAAAACGGAAACGGTCCAACACGGGAACGGAAAAAAACGGAAACCCCCCCAAAACTTATTTTTTGAGGGAATTCCCACTTTATTCGATTGGTTTCCCTGAATTCCGGTTTTTACGGGTCAAATATTTTTGAGGGATTTCCCAAAATTTTCGAGCAGTTTCCGCATATTTTTGGTTCGTTTCCGGTGTCCGGAAAAGTTAAAAATTTTCAGTTTGTTGATCGGTTTCCTGTTTTTTTCGATCTGTTTCCGTAAATTTTTGATTCGTTTCCGGTTTTCAAAAAAAGTTATAAATTTTCAGTTTGTTGCTCGGTTTTTCTTTCTTTTTCGATCCGTTTCCGCATATTTTTATTCCATTTCCTGTTTTCAGAAAAGTTATTAAGGGGATGGTGGAGATGTAGCTGGGGGGGGGGGGGGTCCCTTCATTTTTAGTTCGAATCTTCCAACTTTTTCTGAAAACCAGAAACGGACCAAAAATTTGCAGAAACAGCAAACCAACAAACAAACTGAAATTTTTTTACTTTTTCTGAAAACTGGACACGGACCAAATTTTCGTGGAAACGGATTGAAAAAAAAGAGGAGAAACCAACCAGCAAAATGAAAATTTATAACTTTTGCTAAAACCCGGAAACAGGCCAAAAATATGCGGAAACTTTTTGTCACTTCATTTGCTTCATTTTTAATCTGTGTCAATGGTTTACTAAATCTTGAAGGGAGTGTTCACGAAAAAGAAAAACAATGCACAAGCGGTCAACTAATCATCGTTTAAATTGAATCTATTTAAAACAAATTAAAAATATCATGAAGTAGCAACATACGAATGCGTCGAATAAAATTCGATGATTATAGGTTGTAATATCTGAATGATTTGTTTGGAATTAAATTGATTTTTTTTTCATGATCTCAGTCGAATATTGCAACTTTCTGGTTTTGTATGGACGCTAGGTTCTTCGGTATGAGTTGTTTTTAACAATTTTCTTCATATAGGCGAAGACCTATACATTAATAATTATTATTATATCATATCTGTTCGGTTCCATAGTAGTAAACCTATCGTGTAAGAATTCCCATTATTACACGGTTCAGGAGGAACAATTTTAATATTGTTTGCTTCCTAGCGTTTAAGAATGCTTATTCTTACACTGTAGGTGCAGAATTTTCATTCTTTAACGCTCAGACCGTGTAAGAATGGAAATTATTACACGGTCAGAGCGTGAAAGAATGTATATTCTTACACGCTCCAAGCATTAAAGAATGGAAATTCTTACACTAGTTAAAGAATATTCNTACTATAATTTCTTGGGTATGTGCCCATGGAACCTCACAAATATGATATAATAATAATCTTATGAGGATAAAAATGTAATAATGGAATTCTTAAACTCGATGAAATAATCTTGATGCATTCTTTAACTCAGGCCTGCGGCCTTCGTTAAAGAATACATCAAGATTATTTCATCTCGTTTAAGAATTTCCATTATTACATTTTTTTCCTCATAAGATTATCATATTATTATTATTAATAATGTTAATAAAGGTACTTGGTTTTCAATGTTAGCAGATACATCCAACAGAATTACAAGAATGTCAGAAAATCTTCTTTCACTTTGATATTCATAAACATTTCTTTTAGCCTAAGAGTTGTTTCTCTATGGAATGATTTACCCTGTGATAGAAAAAACTGCGCCAACTTTAAATGCTTCTGAATCTAGAGAAGATAAAAGTTTAAAAAATTCTAATCTGTTCTAGTTTCTATTGTTGACCAGCAGAAGATAAATAAAGATGAATAAAGATATAACCTATGTATTTAAAAATATTTATTTATCTGATACATTACCATATTTTATAGAGTAAAAGAAATGTTAAAATTCCTGGACAAGATACAATTAAAATTCATTAAAATTCAACTAGTTCAGCTGTAGCAAAGAACATGCTCTTGACAAACTAGGCAAAATGTGACTAAGCAAATTGTGACCAGGCACAAATGTAGCTGAGCCGTTATTCACATATATCACAAGAATATCTCACGCCTCAATGCTTTTTTACGATGTGCCTTTTAAGATCTCCTGTTGTAGTTCCAGCGTATTCACTCCATCATGTTTATTCTTAATATGTTCTCTGAGATGATTTGGCCTAGTAGCAGAATATTCACATTTATCACAAGGATATCTCACTCCTTCGTGTATATTCAGAATATGTTGTCTAAGATGAATTTGGCTGGTTGCAGAATAATCACATCTGTCACAAGGATACCTAACTCCTTCATGCTTACTCTTGATATGTTTTCTTAGATTACCTCGGCATGTTGCGGTGTATTCACATTTATCACAAGGATATCTCACTCCTTCGTGTTTATATTCTTTGTGACTTTTAAGATGATTTAGTCCAGTTGCAGAATACTCACATTTATCACAAAGATATCTTACTCCTTCATGTTTACTTTCGGTATGTTTTCTAAGATCACTTGCTGTAGTTGCGGCGTATTCACATTTATCACATTGATATCTCACTCCTTCATGTTTATTTCTAATGTGTTCTCTGAGGCGATTTTGTGTATTAGCTGAATATTCACATTTATCACATGGATAACTTACTCCTTCGTGCACATTCTGAATATGTTGTCTATGATGATATTGGCTGGTTGCAGAATACTCACATCTGTCACACGGATACCTCACTCCTTCATGCTTACTCTTGATATGTTTTCTTAGATTACCTCGGCATGTTGTAATGTACTCACATTTATCACAAGGAAACCTAAGTCCTTCGTGAGTAGACAATTTATGACTTTTAAGATTAATCGGTTTAGTTGCAAAATATTCACATTTATCACAAGGATATCTCACTTCTTCATGTTTACTCTCAAAATGTCTCTTAAGATCATTAGCTTTAGTTGCACTGTACTCACATTTATCACATGGATATCTCACTCCTTCAAGTTTCCTCTTCTTGGTTATCTTTGATCCAACCAGCAGAGGATTCTCTTCAATGAGAACTATTTCACCTAAAATATACATTTCATTATTTTGTATGATTGAGGTCCTCTTCTAGTAAATAAGTAAGAAAGAAGTAATTTCATTTTATCATTACCTGTCATCTCAGTATTTGCCATCTCAACGTCTTCTTCCTTTTTATATACAGTACATGTCTCCTCTTCAGTAGAAGTAGAGGGTACTTCCATCTTCATCTTGATATAAACATCTTCTTTAATCTCTTCCTTCTTCATTTCTCCTTGTACATATACAGTACATATCTCCTCTACAATAAAGAGAGAAATATTAGAACTTTAGTTGTAATTTTAAGTGACCTTTAGTATAAATAGAGAAGCATGCTGGAATCATGTTTCTAAAGCAGAAATTCACAAGCATCTTTAAAGAGAACTTACAATTAATTAAAAATAATTATTGTTTAAGAAAGAGATGTATATATATCATGCATTGTTGATTAGACAGCTTTCAAGGTTATCGTTTTAAATCAGATATACCACTTGATAAATGGAGACTGGAGAGTCACCTTAAATAACGTTTAAATCTGATATACCACTTGTTAAATGGAGACTGGAGAGTCACCTTAAATAACGTTTTAAATCAGATATACCACTTGATAAAAGGAGACTGGAGAGTCACCTTAAATAACGTTTTAAATCAGATATACCATTTGATAAATGGAGACTGGAGGGTCACCTTAAATAACGTTTTAAATCAGATATACCACTTGATAAATGGAGACTTGAGAGTCACCTTAAATAACGTTTTAAATCAGATATACCACTTGATAAATGGAGACTAGAGAGTCACCTTAAATAACGTTTTAAATCTGATACACCACTTCATAAATGGAGACTGGAGAGTCAGCTTAAATAACGTTTAAACCCAGATATACCACTTAATAAATGGAGACTTGAGAGTCACCTTAAATAACGTTTTAAATCTGATATACCACTTGATAATTGGAGAGTACCTTAAATAACGTTTTAAATCAGAAATACCACTTGATAAATGGAGACTGGAGAGTCACCTTAAATAACGTTTTAAAAAAGATATCCCACTTGTTAAATGGAGACAGGAGAGTCACCTTACAAACCGTTTTAAATCAGAGATACCACTTGATAAATGGAGACTGGAGAGTACCTTAAATAACGTTTTAAATCAGATATACCACTTGATAAATGGAGACTGGAGAGTAACCTTAAATAACGTTTTAAAAAAGATATACCACTTGTTAAATGGAGACAGGAGAGTCACCTTACAAACCGTTTTAAATCAGAGATACCACTTGATAAATGGAGACTGGAGAGTCACCTTAAATAACGTTTTAAATCAGATATACCACTTGATAAATGGAGACTGGAGAGTCACCTTAAATAACGTTTACAGTTCCTTTTAGATACAACTAAAATATCTATATTTGTATTTTTATACTTTTATCTTTTAATATTTTTGCATTTCTGTAGAGTACCATATCCCCAAAGTATTACTTTTACTGTATAAATAAATCAAACATTAAGGCGGATTTCCAATTCTTTAAAGATAAATATAAGAGACAGCGTTTCGGATCCGGGTAGCGCCAAAAATTAACCAAAACCATGGAATAAATAAATCAAAATGGTTCGTAAATGTATTATTTACATGACGAAAATTTTTCAAAATTATCTTTAATAATTTAATGTTTACATAGTAATGACGACATTTTTAACTTTAGGATTACTCAGGGAAAATAGGAAAAAGGGAAAATAGGGAAAATCCGATTCACAGAATCAAAAGTTACCTCGGATCCGGATCCGATCCGGATCCGTATCAGAGTCAGGATCCGGATCCATCATCACGGATGCGGATCCGCGGATCCGGATCCGCATCAAAATGATACGGATCCGAAACACTGATAAGAGAGATGAGCAGAGAAAATTACAGATTCATTTCCATTATTTGTCCTTTTTTGATCATCGATTTTCTCCCCTGTTTTGATCATCGATTTAAGGTAAAATGTACTTAATTAATCTAGCGTAATTGATTTCTCGGTTTGGTAAAAGAAAATATCATAGTTTTTGCCTTCAGTAGATGTAATATTTTCAAAATTCTTCTTGTTGAGAATTCAATGCAAGGAAATTTAATATTTAAATTATATTTTAGAATTTTACCATGCTTAGGTTCTCTTATCTCAACCTTTACATCTTCTTCCTTTATATAAACAGTACATGTATCCTCTACAGTAGAGGTTGGAAGGATTTCTCCCTGGATCTCATCTTTAATCTCAATATTCTTTCCTTTCAGTTCTTCTTTTGTCATATTTCCAACCATTCTTTCTGAAACAATTACTTAGAAAGTATTTGAGTCAATTTAATGAAATTTAAATATTTTCCTGATCTGTTACCATGATTGAATAATTATTCAATAGTTTTATTTCTATGCAGAAATCTCGGAAAAGTTGATCAATTTATAAAAAAAAATCCGAAAAATTGCTGGCTTTAAAAGTAAGATTTAAAAATGAGAAGTGAAAATTGGGTGCAAAGCGACCTTCTAGCCTTATTGTAAAAGAATTAGTTTCAGTTAATAGTTTGATAATCAGTTTTTTTAATTTTCTGCTTTTAAAAAAAAAACTTTAAAATCCACATTAGTTGATTGGTTTACTTTTTGTCACTTCATTTGCTTTTTTTTTAATCTGTTTTAACGTTTTAGAAAAACTTAAAGGGAGTGTTTGCATAAAAATAAAAACAATACACTTTAAGCGACGATTTTTCGTCCACTAGGTGTCTTTCCTTCGTGGAACCATGCAGAAACATCGAGAGCATGGAGATACCTGGCGGTCAACTAATCGTCGTTTAAATTGAATATCATGAAGTAGCAACTACATATTAATGCGTCGAATAAAATGCGATGATTATAGGTTGTAATATCTGAATGATTTGTTTGGAATTAAATTGATTTTTTATGATCTGAGCCGAATATCGCAACTTTCTGGTTTTGTATGGACGCTACATTCTTCGGTATAAGTTGTTTTTAACAATTTCCTTCTTAAAGTCGAAGACTCCGCTATGATTAATTGAAACCTATACAATTATTTATGGTATTAATAATTTTATATAAAAGAAAATAAAAAATCGACCAAAAAAATAAAAATTTCCTTTAAATCACATCTTGATGCACTAGATAATCTTAAAATTGATTATAATATTTTCTGCATTAATGTGATACATGCATCCTTATAAATATCATGACAACAATTTGAAATTTTCTTATATAGTCCGCCAGGAGTCCTGAAAATAATCTGAACATACACATAGACGCAGCAGATAGAAATAAGATTTTAGCGATCACTTCGAATTTTGTCGACATAAGTCTAAATAGTTATACCCCATAACATAAAAAAATGCAAAACTGGATCGAAATATATTGAAATAAATATTTATCAAGTATTTTCCATATAAATTTGATGCGGATCAAGGGCGTATACAGAAATAAATGTAGGGGGGGGGGCAAGATTTGCGCGAAGCGCAAAATTTTTTTTTGCCCCCCCTAGGAGCTCCTAGGGGGGGCAAAATTCGAACTGTAAATTCATAACACTTGGCTTCTTGGATATCAGGCATAAGTATTGATGCGGATCCGGATCCTGGATCCGCACTGGAAAAAATTGGATCCGGATCAAAATCCAGGTCATTTCTTTATGATTTACTGAATTTTTTATTTACAAGGATATCTCACGATCCTTCATGTTTATTCTCCATATGTATTTTAAGAGAATTTACGCGAGTTGCAGAGTATTCACATTTATCACAAGAATATCTCACTCCTTCATGTTTACGTGCGATATCTCTTTTAAGGTTCCTTACAGTAGCTGAAGAAAATTCACATTTTTCAAAAGGATATCTCACTCCTTCATGTTTGTTCTTAATATGTTCACTGATATGACTTCGGCTGGTTGCAAAATACTCACATTTATCACAGGGATATATCACTCCTTCATGTTTACCTGCAATATGTATTTTAAGATTCCTTACAGTAGCTGAAGAAAATTCACATTTTTCACAAGGATATCTTACTCCTTCATGTTTGTTTTTAATATGTTCTCTGAGATGACTTCGGCTGGTTGCAAAATACTCACATTTATCACAGGGATATCTCACTCCTTCATGTTTATTCTCAATGTGTTTTCTGAGATAACTTTCTCTGGCTGCAGCAAACTCACATTTATCACATGGATAACTTACTCCTTCGTGCTTATTCTTAATATGCACTCTGAGATAACTAAGGCTGGTTGTAGAAAACTCACATTTATCACATAGATATCTCACTCCTTCTGGTTTCCTCTTCTTGGTTATCTTTGATCCAACAAGCGAGGATCCTCTTCATTGAGAACTATTTCACCTAAAACATGTATTTTAGTTGTTAAGTATTTTGCAGTACTGAAAATGTAAAAGAATAGAATCATATTAAATGCTTACCTTGTATTCCAGAATTTTCCATCGTGACCTTTTCTCCCTGTACATATACAGTACATGTGTTCTCTACAGTAGAAGGAGTAATAACTTTATCCTTGATATAAACTATTTCCTTCTTCAGCTCACACTCTTCCTCCTTTATTCCTTCTCCCTGTACATATACAGTACATATGTTCTCTACAGTAGAGGAGAGAAGGATTTCTTCTTCCTTGAAAACTGTCTCTTCTTTCATCTCAAACTCCTCAAGATTAATTTCTTCTTCTATTGTTTCTGCCATTCTATCTGGAATAGTTATTTATAAAACGAGAACATGAGGAGAGGGTACTTCCTTCTTCATCTTAATATAAACATTAACTAATATCTGTGAAGAGCATGAGGCCGCGAATATATATTCTTCATTAATGTTTCTTACATATGTGTTTTCTTAGCTGGTGTGCTGTAGTGGTAGCATATTCACATTTATTACATGGATATCTTTTATTTTCTTCATGTATATTTGCGATATGTCTTTTAACACCCCTTACAGTGGTTGAAGAGAATTCACATTTATCGCATGGATATTTCACTTCTTCATGTTTATATTTGATATGTTCTCTGAGATAACTAAGGCTGGTTGCATAATACTCACATTTATCACATGGATAACTTACTCCTTCGTGCTTATTCTTAATATGCACTCTGAGGTTACTAAGCCTGGGTGTAGAAAACTCACACTTATCACATGGATAACTCACTCCTTCATGTTTATTCTCAATATGTATTTTGAGATAACTATAGCTGGTTGCAGAAAACTCACATTTATCACACAGATATTTCACTACTTCATGTATACTAGCGATATGTCCTATAAGACCCCTTACAGTAGTTGAAGAGAATTCACATTTATCGCATGGATATTTCACTCCTTCATGTTTATTCTTGATATGTTCTCTGAGATAACGTTGGCTGGTTGCATAATACTCACATTTATTACATGGATAACTTACTCCTTCGTGCTTATTCTTAATATGCACTCTGAGGTTACTAAGCCTGGGTGTAGAAAACTCACACTTATCACATGGATAACTCACTCCTTCATGTTTATTCTCAATATGTATTTTGAGATAACTATAGCTGGTTGCAGAAAACTCACATTTATCACACAGATATTTCACTACTTCATGTATACTAGCGATATGTCCTATAAGACCCCTTACAGTAGTTGAAGAGAATTCACATTTATCGCATGGATATTTCACTCCTTCATGTTTATTCTTGATATGTTCTCTGAGATAACGTTGGCTGGTTGCATAATACTCACATTTAACACATGGATAACTCGCCCCTTCATGTTTACTCTCAAAATGTCTCTTAAGATCATTTTCTTCAGTTGCATTGTACTCACATTTATCACATGGATATCTCACTTCTTCTAGTTTCCTCTTCTTGGTTATCTTTGATCCAACCAGCAGAGGATCCTTTTCATTGAGAACTATTCTATGTTTACTTTTCATGTGTGTTCTCAGAAGAATTAAATATTTTGAAGAATATTCACATTTAACACAGGAAAAGCACTTTTCATCTTGTAAACTTTTTGTTCCCCTTGACACAGACAGCAGAGGATCCTCTTGTTTCACAATTTCTAAAATAATTTTAATTCATTATTTGAATACTTTATTCTTGTTTTGTAATGAAAAAAAGGTCAAATGTAAATATATGTTACGCTTGAGCTTGAGCAACAACATGACGATCATCTTTTAAGTTGTAACTTTGATCAGCGACTTAAAAATATATTCCTCAGTTATTCAAGTTATCAAAACTGACTAGAACATAATTAAGAAATTTCAGTTAAAATTACGTCTTTAATCAAAAAAATATTTATTGTTATAAAGAAATATAAAGAATATACATTTTTATTTATATGGAAATGCATTCAAAATAAAATAAAAACATTTGATACCTTGATCTCCAATATTTTCCATCTTGACATCCTCTTCCTTTATATATACAGAACACGTATCCTGTACACTTACAGTGATAGGAGATATTTCTTCTTTAATCTTAAACTCATTCTTCTTCACAACTTCTTTCTGTACATATACAGTACATGTGTTCTCATCAGTAGAAGTAGGATGAAGTTCTTCCTTCATGTAAAAAGTTTCTTCTTTTATCATCTCCGCCATTTCATCTGGAATAGATTGATGATTTAGATAATTAAAAATTGGGTAATTTATAATATAAGCTTTCAAAGCATTAAATCAATTATTCCAATTAAAGAGATTTGACTGCTAGCAAAATCTATATATAAATTTGGCTTGTCTGTTTGTTTGTCTGTTTGTTTGTTTGTATCCAATAAACGTCAAAACGGCTGAACCAATCGGGCCCAAATTTTTTGTGGGACATCTAGGGACCCCAGGGAAGGTTTATGAATGAGCAAAATTTTAAATATTTGTCTCCATCAAAATTCGATCTTCATTAATTTTTTTAAAGTTTTGAAAATCCACGAATTTTTTTGTGAAAATCCGCGAATTATTTTGTTTTGTTTTACGATGTACGCAAAGAGAACATGTTCGCAATATATTTAGAAGATGGGCGCGAATGATTAAAAATGACTAATTTAGACAAAATAATCAGGAATAATTTTAAAAATTTAATCAAATTATACAAGTAAAAAGATTCGACTACAAGAAAAAACAATGCAAACATTGGCATGCAAAACATCACACGACATTTGCGCAATTCAAGAATCGTCTTCCATGATCAAATTATATAATGCAATATTTAAAAGTCGGAGCGTGGTTTCACACAAACTAAAATTTTAATGTAAATATTAATTTTATATCAGATATGAATACTTGAATTAGTTAGATCTCTTAATCTTAGTGGAATAAAATTGCTTTTAATTTGAGTATAATATTAGATGACTAATGTTTTCTTTTATATGTTTATTTATAATGTTTTTTGAGACATAGTACTAATGTGAACAGGACCAGATTGAACCCTACATTTCATTCAACACTGCTATGGTCGGTAGCTCCTGGCTCTTTAAAAAACCCTTATTACAAGCAATGCATTCAACTCCTCAAAAAAACTTTCCTAAAATGATCATCCTAGGTTTTATGTGTCTCGTACTTCATATGGAATATATAATCAGAGAAAAACCAAAATACAAAATATGAAATATAAAAAAAACATAAGTTATAAAAATGAAATGAGTTAAAGTTAAATTGTCAATTAAAAATTAAATAAAAAATCGAAAGAATTTCTTTAAAAAGTTGCCATTTTTTTAAATAAAAACTAAAATTCAGTAGATTAGAAGAATGTTAGTTGCCATTTTACTTCCTTTGACATCTTCTTCCTGTACATATACAGAACATGTGTTCTTAGAAGAAGGAAGGATTTCTTTTTCCATAAAAACTGTCTCTTCTTTCATCTTAAACTCATCAAGGTTTATTACTTCTTGAATTGCCTCCGCCATCTTATCTGGATTTACAAAAGAAAAACAATATTTGAATATTATATGACTGAGAATTGATAAAGATGGCTAGATTTAAACCTTTCTTGGTAAACGCACATGAAAATTGCCGACATTTACAATATTAAAATATTACTCGGCATTTGACTTTTCTTATGTCGTCTTCTAAAATTATTTTCTTTAGAATAAATAATCAACTTGGACATGATCCTCATTATTAGTTAAAATGTCTTAATTTTGGCTATTTTTTACTGAATAATCTGCATGTGATGCATAAACTAAAAAATTTCTCAACTCTCTCATAATTTTCACTGCTGTTTCAATCATTGCTGATTTCCTTCTAGACCATTCTCTTCTTCTTTTCATCTCCATTGTCTCTGCTTTCCCTCTCAGCCTTTCTTCTCTCCTTCTTCCTTATCCTGTCTGCTATTCTGGACTTTGCTCTTAAATAAAATGCAATAAAGTGCGGTAAGTGCGGTTTGAAAACAATAGAAGTTCCCCAGTTGAATATTTTACTGATATATCCTCATTTAACATTTACTTAAATTTACTTCCGTCTCCAAAATAAACAACTAATAAAAAATAGCAAAATTCGCAAGAGATATCCCAACATAGCGAGGAAATTAACTAGGCGGAGGGGGTCTTTGATTCATAGTTTGGCATACTTGGGAATTAATTTTTTAAAGAGCTTTGAAATTATTTTTTAAAGGGCTGTGTACTTATTTCATGAAAAGATATGCCCCTTATATGTCCATAGAATATACCCATGACATAATATTTTAATGCATAAAAAAGTTACCTGTAAAACACAGAGTAGATATCTATCTTGGCTGCCCGTCTTGAGGCAGCGTTTACTCCACCAAAAGTTGCAAGTAGTAAATTATTTAATGTTGGGCATACTTGCCTGAACCTCTGAAATTGGAATCAATAATATCCAAAAAAAAAACATTTTAATTGTTTGTGGTTCACCCCTCATGAACCTCCACTTTAATGTTTCCAGCTGGCAGCCATTTTCATTTTTAATTGGACTACAAGTTAAAAAACAAATTTTCTAAATGGGACTGTAATTTCAAAGTGACACTCAACTTTAAGAGATACACGGTCCTGCAAAGAACCCGTGTCAAGTAAGACATTTTGTAATATCTCTTTCAATATTAATAGCAGCCGGTTCTATTTTTGAAAAATATTAAAATATTAAATTCCGATTTTAAAGTCTGCTTTATTAAAGAAGAGGTTTACTTAAACTGCCGTTAAGTGGAAAATTCTCCTAACTTTGTTAAAGTAATTCCTCACCTCTGCTGTTAAATCGACATAAGATTCATATGTTCCAATGAACAATAAGAATTCTCTAGGAGAATTGTAACGCATCATTGCTTCCTTCAAAACTTCAAGCTCATTGGAAAACTAGAACATAATCTAATTAAAATGCTAGTAAACTCAGGAATAAATTTTTTTAGAACTTTTACATAAACATTTTGAAAGGTTTTGATTTGTGCATTATTTCAAAGTAAATAAATAATAAAGTGGGTCAGACTCATAATTTGATGATGACATTTTAAGGGAGTGACCGGCTATGTAAGGTAGTTGAACTGAGTATGCAGTTATGTGGAAAACTTCTTTAGGATTCATTTGAGACATATTAAACTTTTTAAAGATCTGTAAATCCTGAGTTTGAGCAAAAATTCGACTTTGGGGGTGGATACGTTTTCAGAATTAGTTTTTTTTACTTATTAAAAAACGACAACGAAAAATAAAGTAAAATTTGTCAATAAATCAATGCTAAAATCGATTATTTCGTTTTCATGATTGTATTGAATTTTCTTATTTTCTTTGAATTTATTCCCAGATATCTTCAAATTCTTCAAATGTCGTCTATTCAATAAAAATTCTAGAAAATCTGCGAAAATCTTTGTGAATAATGAGAAAATAGAAACTAATAATTGAACAAGATTACTTATTTTTGATGATAAGATTAATTTCTATTTTTTCCAATACATGACGTCTGTAGTTTATTGTAGAACTTTTTTACATTTTAAGTCGTTATCTAATAATTTAAAAAAAACTAATTTTGAAAACCTAAAAAGTAGGAGTTTTGAACATAGAATAGGCGCTCAAACTCAGGTTTTACAGATCTTTAAAAAGTTTAATATGTCTCAAATGAATCCGAAAGAAGTTGTCCAACAACACTGCATACTCAGTTCAACTACCTTACATAGCCGGTCACTCCCTTTAAGCACAAGAATTTGAGAATGATACTGCAGGATCATTTAAATCTGTATATACAGAGTACAGAATTTACTGAGCACTAGCTTAGTTTACAAACTGGCGATGATAATTTATGTAAAATTAAATTTTAATGATTGTTTAATACAAACCTTTTACTTTGCCATAAATCTGTACCATTTAATTGCATTCTAATTTGAAAAGCTAAAATATTAAATTTCCACTAAAGAAAAAGTTAGTTTGTAACCTGGCTAATCGTTATTTCTATATTAACTAAAGTCTCCTCTCCTTTCACCATTCCTTGATGAACCCTGCAGATGTTAGAAGCTAAAATAAAATAAAATCAAAATCAAGAGGAGCAATTAGAAATTTAATTTAGCTTTGATTTAAAATCTTTTGAATATTTTGGATCAGTAAACCAATAAACCGATTCATAAGCTGTTGTCAACTCAAGCTTGATATTCAAAACAAATCCAGTTTTTGTGCATCTCCCCCTCAATTAGAAATTAGAACTACCTGGGGCCTGATTTTCTGGGTTCTTGAGTTCATCGAACTTTTTGTCAATGTATTCTTTCAAATCTTGTTTTAACTCCTTCATATCTTTTCTCAGCTCCTCGTGCAGTTCAAACATATATTTCTTCATAGTTTCGTCTTTATCCTCTATCTTCTTCTCCTTCAATTATGATAGGTCTTAGATGATTTTTTAAAAAGTTTGACGTTATATAAAATGTAATAAATGTGGGAGGTGGGGGGCGTGGGGCGTCAATGTTAATGAAAGATAAATCATCCAAGTTTATCATTTTTCCTTTACCTTCTCTAGTAACGGGTTTAGAATTTCAAACTCTATATTTCAATGAGCTTATTTTTCTTAATGGATTATGGAAAAAATAAAAACAATGCAGTTTATTTCTACTTCTAAGAATTTACATGTAAATTTTTATTAAAAATAATGTCACAAACTGAAAAGAAAAATAAGTTTCCTTTGTCAGATGGTTTATCTACTTCCTGAAACCCTGAAAATAAATAAATTTCTTAACATCTTATGTCAAGATCTGTAGCCTCGTTCTTTAAAGAATAATTTTTAGGAATAAAATCATTTAGTTCCTTGTAAAAACTAGAGTATTTATCTAGATTGAAGATACTTAAATATTACCTTCAATCTCAGTAAATTCTGGTTTCACTTCCCCCTGTACATATACAGTACATATATCCTCTACAATAGAAGGGTAAAGAAATACTTCCCCCTTGATGGAATCATTTTCATCTTTCATTTTAAATGCTTTTTCCAATATTTCTTCCTTCATATTTCCAGCCATACTCTCTTAAATAATATCAGTAGTCAAAAATTAAAGCAAGTAGATTTTGAGGTTCATAACACTTAAGAATCACAATGAAGAGGTATTTTTAAATCCATCATGGATGGAGATTGAATCAGGAGTTCCACAAGGAACCATATTAGGACCTTTCTAATTATCCAGGTGAAAAATTTAACTAAACTAATTCAAAACCTTGTGATATTGATGGGGGGGAGGGGGAGGGAAGTTTGAGTCTTGCCCTCCATTTAAAAAAAAAACAAAATATTGAAGATATTTCTTTTAATATGAATTTTGAGATCTTGAATACAAATGGTCGCATGGTCACGTTTATCTCAGATAAATAACACTCCTTCCTATTTACTTTCAGTATCCCAATATATCACTTATTCATGTTTTTTAGAAATATCTTTTTAGATTACTTTTAGATGTTACTGCGTACTCACATTTATCACAAGGATATCTCAATCCTTCATGTTTACCCCTAAAATGAGTTTTAAGATCACTTGCTCTAGTTGCAGTGTACTCACACTTACTACAAGGATAGCTCACTCCTTCATGTTTACTCTCAATGTGAGCCCAAGATGACTTGCTGTAGTTGCAGACACATTACATTTATGGCGTAAATATCTCATTCCTTCATATTTACTGTCAATGTGAACTTTCAGATCACATTCTCTAGATGCAGTGAACTCGCATTTATTGAAAGAATATCTCACTTCTTCATGTTTAATCTCAATGTGAAATTTAAGATAACTTGCTCTAGTTGCAGTGTACTCACACTTACTACAAGTATATCTCATTCCTTGATGTTTACTCACAATGTGAGCCCAAGATGACTTCCTGTAGTTGCAGACACATTACATTAATGGCGTAAATATCTCACTCCTTCATGCGTTAAAAAGATACTCCCGTGAAACATAAGTTATGAAAGTTTAATAAAATCTCAATTAGAGTATGGTATTTAGCATGGGGATCATCAACAAACAATAAAATAGGAAAATTATTTAAACTTCAAAAGAAAGCAATACGGACTTTGTCAGATAAAGGATATTCACAACATACAGATCCTTTGTTTTCTAAACTTGGAATGCTTAAATTATCTAATATACACAAACATAACAAAACTTCCTTCGTCTTTTAATGGAATGTTTGCTCCATTTGTAGAACCTAATAGGACACAAAGTTTTAAATTGGAATTAATAAGAATCAAATATCTTAAACCTTTTCCAAAAATATTTCTCACGAGAATTTGGAATAGTGTTCCAATGAATATTAAATGTTCATTATCAGTACTTAGTTTCAAAACGAATATGAAAATATATCCTTTATTCCTTCTCCCTGTACATATATAGTACACGTGTTCTCTACAGTAGAGGAGGGAGGGCTTTTTTCTTCCTTGAAAACTGTCTCTTCTTTCATCTCAAACTCCTCAAGATTAATTTCTTCTTTAATTGCCTCTGCCATTAAATCTGGAATAGTTATATCTATAAACAAGAGCAAATTAAATATATTAGATAAGAGGGATTATAGATAATTTGAGAGATTTAATTTCGTTTATAACAATACCTAGATATATAAACCTATATAACCAGAACATGTGTTCTATACAGTAGCGGAGAGAAGAGTTTCTTCTTTCATCTAAAACTCCTCAAGGTTAATTTCTTTTTTGACTGTTTCCACCATTCTATCTGTAATATGGTGATTTACAAAAACAAAAACAAATAAATATATTAGATAAGGTAAGATTGGAGTTGTTACGGACGGCTACATACATAAAAAAAAACAAGTAAAACAGAAATTCATATAATTGGCGTAACTAGAGTTTTTGTGATCGGAAAGAACATATTTTGAAATCATGAGAAGTTTTATATGTTTACTGTTGAGATGTCTATTTTAAAATTGCTGCGTACTCACTGCATGCTTATTCCTTCATGTTTATTCTCTTTATGCATACTAAGATGAATTCTTTCAGTAGAAGTGAACTCACATTTATCACAAAGGTATCTCAATCTTTTGTGGATACTCTTCATATGCTCTCTTAGTTGACTTGCTGAAGTAGCAGCATACTCACATTTATCACAAGGATATTTCACTTCTTTATGTTTACGCTTAATATGGCTTTTCAGTGAACTTGTTGAAGTCGCAGCGTAATTACATTTGTCACAGGGATGTCTCACTCCTTCATGAATATTCTCAATGTGTATTTTCAGACTAGCTGCTGTTGTTGCAGCGTATTCACATTTATCACAAGGATATCTCACTCCTATGTGTTTACTTTCAATATGCTGTTTTAAATTACCTGAATGGGAAGCAACGTACTCACATATATTACAGGGATATCCTCCTTCTTCATGTTTACTCACATGTCTGCTCAGAAGAATTATTGTAGTTGCAACGTACTCACATTTATCACAAGAAAATCTTCCTCCTCCTGTTTTCCTCTTTTTTCTCCTCACATCAGACAACAGAGAATCCTCTTCCTGGTTTACTATTTCATCTAAACAATATATTTCATATTTCATATGTTTGGAATATAGTCTATTTTCAAAACATAAAAAAATGTAAGTATAAATATAAATTTCACTCTTTGATCTGATAAAAAGGATAAAAAAAAATATTTAAAATCATTGAAGCTCCTTCATAAAAAAATGAACAATAAAATGAAAGTAAAAACATCCATGTAAATAAAAGCAATAAAATAGTTCAAATTAACATAAAAATAGTCAACATTAACAAAAAAAAATGGTTCAATTAAAATATGGAGAAAAAAAAACAAAAGAATAGTTAAATAGGCAAAAAATATAGTCAAAACCTTTGAATAGTTTGACTGAAGAAATAAAATTGATCAAATGAAAGAAAATTTAAAAAATAAAAAAATAGCTCAAATGAAATATAAAAAAAATATTAAAAATTAGTTCAAATGAGCAAATAAAAGTTCGAATAAATAAATCAATAAAATAGTTTGAAATAGTTGAAATGGTATTAGTACAAATAAGAATCTACCCGGATAACACATGCTTATTTCAACTTATTTTTTAAGAGTTCAATGCATAATAAACAAAGATTAACGATTAGATATTTTGATTTTTAATCTTACCTTTAGTTTCAGTAATTTCCACCTTAACATCTTCCTCCTTTATATAAACAGCAGATGTTTCCGCTTCAGAAGGGGATGGAAGGATATATTCTGGAATCTCTTCTTTAATCTCAATATTTTCAATTTTTATTTCCTTCTTTCTTATTCCAGCCATTCTTTCTGAAGTTTGTCCTTTTAGATTTCACCAAAATTTATATTTAAAACAAAAGATAATCATATCTTTAAATGTATGGCTCAGAGGCGTATTCAGGGGGGGGGCTATGGAGAAATAAATAAGTCACCTCATGGACAAATTCCTCAATACGCCTCTAGAAAATGAAACATACTAAATACAGTTACATTTAGAAATTTTCAATAAAAATAGTGTTAATTAACTTCAATAGTCCGCAAAACTTGGAAATCACATCACATCAGTTAAAAGAATCGTTGCACGTATAAACTCTCTGAATATGCATAAAGTAAGTAAGTAATTATTTATTAATCAACTATAACAAAAACATAAAAAATTAAGGGTTTCAGGAGAAAATATTTTAAAACCTCCCAAAAATAGGGGTTTTGGGAATATTTCTACCCAATTAAAAAAATAACATTATTATGATTTCGTCTTTGGCAGCCTATTAAATTACTAAAATAGACGTTCTTGGCTTGTCTTATTTTCTATTATAAATATTTCTGCATACACTAAACTTGATATTATCTATAGTAGACTAAAGTTTGGATGAGCGAGAAAATGAAGAAAAAAATTCAAAAACGAATTCGAGGAGGGTCACCTCATAGCCTAACCACCTTACAAATTACCTCGGTTATCTTAGCCAAGTGGCTATATTATTGCATAAAGATAAAATTAAGAATTATGTTTTCTTTTTCTATGTCTTCTAAGATCTCCTGCTTGTGTTGCAGCATACTCACAGTTGGCACAAGCATATCTTGCTTCTCCATGTTTAATGTCAATATTGATTGATTGATTGACATTTATTTCTTTATACCTAATAATTACAGGGATATTTCACTTCTCTATGTCCAAAAATCGTTTATTAGGACGGACCCCTTATTTCTAAGAAAAAAACCATTTAATGTTACGATTTTTTTTTGTCTGATTACCAATTGAGGTGGTGGAGATTACCTTTTGAGGAGCGCATATGCCGCAGGACACGTTTGGGTGGCATTTGTTTTCTTCTGCACTCCCCCCCTCGCGCCACTGACTCAATCCATCAATTAAATGAATTAAACAAAAGAGTTTGTTTGATTTTTAATATTTGTTGAGATTAATTAAGCTGAGTAAAGAGAGTACAGAAAATAGAGGGTATTTGAGCAGGAACCTCGTCTGTACTGGTTCTGTTGAGGATCTTGCTAGTTTGAGAGATAAACTTTCCAATGCTATGAAAGTGAAAAAAATCAATGTGCTCTTTTAAACTATAGTATTTCGACGGGAAAATTTGAACTGTAAAGGGTGACACAGGTTTTATTAATGTTGATTATATTGTATAAGTTTATACGGTGGGCAAAATTAATATTTTGTATTCTTTATTTTAGTTTCTATAACCGATGAACCCTGCAGCTCATCTGAGAAGATTAGAACGCTTGCTCAAATTAATACAAATTCATGAATTTATTGACTCCTTTTTGTTTAGTGTTTGTAATTTGTAATTTAAGATATAGAAGTGAAGCGGTGTACTTATTTTTAACCCTCTTTTAAATTTACTGTAAAATATTTTCTTTCTTAGAGTAGTAATTTATATATTGTGCCATATAAGAGACTAGTACCAAAGTTGAGACTCTTACTAACAACAGCTTGCCTGTAAGATCTGAGGATCTTTATAAACTAATGTGTGTTCAGGGTGTTCAGCGACAAGAGGTTACTCAGTGTGTTCAACCAGGAATTCTCTACAAACAATCGATCAATCACACGGAACTCTACATGCACAATTTTCTACATTTAATCACGTGTTCAACTCTATATAATTAATTGAGATTTTTAATGTAACTATTTAAAGGCCAATTTTTATAAAGAATAACCTGATTTTGTTTTATAATGCAGAACCTGAGTTTTATGGTTGAAAATGTTTTATAATTTAACCTATATATATAATATTTAGCCAAAACCTATATATTGTTTTTAAAAAGCCTAAGCCTGAAAACTTTGTAAATAATGAGTTTTATCTTTCAGAACACAATGGGTTAGTTGCCCCCTTCTAACCTGAAACTGTGTTTCTTTCTCCAGGTCTATAAATCATCCGTAATAAATACTTAAGGCTAATAAACGTCGAATGTTCTTTACACAACGTTGGAAAATTTTATTCCTACGGATGGTTTATAAAATACATGTAGATAATTGTGATTGTTGTGATTCCTCTAAATAGTTCCGGGCTCGTATCTGTGCTTTAAACCAGGTGAAAAATTGCAAATATCTAAAATGAGCTTAAATAATATCCTGACTTCTCACAAATCTCTCAACATAATTCTCATTCTTGGCTGGCACGAGTCCTGTTGATATATAACCTCAACTTGCTCCGCTGACTCGCGGAGAAATTCTACTGATCTTCAACATGCAGATATCTCCCCTGCTCCCAGAACAGCTTTATGGATACCTGGTTCTAAGGGTTATTATATTATGAAGGAGAACTTATTGACGACCTTAACCGCTATTACTTCTGACAATTTGAAGGTTAAATGGTAATTTTCTAGTGAATGGTTTTTGGTCTCCACTAGGGCCCTCCCCCCTCCCCTCATATCAATTTTGTACATGTATCTCATATGTAACACATGGTTATATTTGGACATGTGACCGCAGATCCCGGCACCCTAGCATTTTCTGGACTCAGCGCTCGGCCCAAAAGTTGGATCTTAACCTTATCGAGCCCTGAAATAATACTAAATAAATATTTAAATAAATAAATATGAAAATCTTCTACAAAATCGACAGGAGGAGGTAAAGGGGTTCCAAAAATTAGATTCACCGACCTCTAGGGTCAAATGCCATAGGGTTAAACGACAAAGGGTCCAAAGTGTCAAACGACTTATGGTTTAAAAGTGCGACAAACTGGCAATACTTGTTTTGGACAGCACATTATTTAACATTTATGAGGCCGCAGCGTTCGGCCGCCTAGCCCATCCTAACCACACCGTCGTTCTTCCCAGAAATTGTCCAAAAACCCAACCCTAAGAAAGAAAGAAAGAACTTTTTGTATTAAGGGTATTTAAGGGGCAATTTAACGCGTTTTCGTAGAAATCTTGTGTTCTAGTGGTAAACTCCCCTCCCCCTATCCAACTCCCGGATTTACGCCTATCCCTGTACCTAGTTCTTTACATAATGATCTATTATGTTTAATGAATGTAATATTTGTATTCAGTAAGTTAGCCGGGAAGGTTATCTATGTGACTGGGGGTAGCCGAGGTATTGGTCTCACTATGGCACTCAAGGCTGCACGAGACGGAGCTAAAATCGTTGTTGCTGCAAAAACAGCCGATCCTCATCCTAAGGTTAGCTTTTTTATATATATATCTTTTTATATATATTTATCTTTTATTTATTAGTTGACAATCAAAATTAATTAATAAGACTAATTTCAAAATGGAATCCAATTTTATGTGTTATATTAGTTTTTTATGCCTAATCTAGAGCCAAACTTGAAAATCAAAAGTTTTTTAATATTTTACTTACAAATTTGTTTGTAAATATGCTTAGTTACCTAGTACTATCTATATATGTTTAGTTACCTTGTACTATCTATATATGTTTAGTTACCTGGTACTATCTATATATATTTATAGTTACCTGGTACTATCTATATATGTTTATAGTTACCTGGTACTATCTATATATGTTTATAGTTACCTGGTACTATCTATATATGTTTATAGTTACTTGGTACTATCTATATATGTTTAGTTACCTTGTACTATCTATATATGTACAATGGCGCCAGGCCAATGTTTCTCCTATTTTTAAGAAAGGAAAAAAAGACGAACCACTGAACTANCTATCTATATATGTTTAGTTACCTGGTACTATCTATATATGTTTATAGTTACCTGGTACTATCTATATATGTTTATAGTTACCTGGTACTTTCTAAATGTTTAGTTACCTGGTACCATCTATACAGCAGCTAAGGAGATAGAAGCTGCTGGCGGTCAAGCTCTTCCTTGTATCGTCGACGTCAGAGATGAGGGTCAGGTTCAGGCCTCCATAGAACAGGCGGTCAAACATTTCGGCGGTATAGACATTCTCATCAATAACGCCAGTGCCATCAGCCTGACAGGGACCCAGGAGACGGATATGAAGAGATTCGATCTCATGCATCAGATTAACACGAGGGGAACCTACCTAGTCTCTAAGTGTGCTCTACCCTATCTCAAGGAGAGTGCTAAAAAGGGACGAAACCCTCATATTTTAAACAACTCCCCTCCATTGAGCATGAACCCTAGATGGTTTAGAGATCATGTTGCCTACACAATGGCTAAGTATGGAATGTCAATGTGTGTTCTAGGCATGTCGGAGGAATTTAAAAAGGTAACAATAAAAATATGGCAATAGTATATAATTTTATTGAATGGTTTTTGCTGGTCTTGGGGGGAAAAATGAAAAATTGGAATTTCTATGATTCATGTTACCCAAAATGTTATTATTTTTTCTAATTTTCTAAATACCATTTATTTTCTATGGAACAGCGAAAAAACACGTTTTAAAAATTCATTCTGCGCTAACATACCTAACTTTGTGGAAAAAATAAATTATTTTCAAAATGGGGGGGGGGATTATTTGTAAAGCAAATATACCGTATATAGTATTCATTATGTGACTATACACCCCTAGAAAATGGTTACGTGATTTAAAACTGTTATTGTAGGACGGAATCGCAGTTAACGCTATTTGGCCCAAAACTGCTATTATTACCGCGGCTATGGAGATGCTCGGAGGCGGAAAGGATATCGCCTCGCAATGCCGGAAACCGGATATCATGGCGGATGCTGCATATGTTATTCTGACCAGAGACGCAAGAAATTTTACAGGTTAGAACGATATTTTTATTATCTTACGTTAAAGATAATATTTGTAATTTTGGATTTGGTTAGGAAACTTCTGTGTTGATGAGAAGGTTCTCCGTGAGGAGGGAGTAACAGATTTCTCCCAGTATCTAGCTGCACCTGGACAAAAGGAGGAGGATCTTATGCCTGATTTCTTCCTGGATGAGTTCCTAGAAATTGAACAAAAGAATCTTGGTCAGTATTTGATACTCTTTTCAATTCTAAGAAAAACAGGTTTTATATTTTGAGATTTTTACGCCAGTGCAGCATTATTTCGATTATTGATTAATCGAAGTGGTTCTTCTTCATTAAACCTAGGAACGAATTTAAGGATTGAAGAGGTCGTTGAACTACCTACCACCGGTTCAAATCCTGAACTACCGATTCAAATCCTTTATAACCTTTAACTTTGAATCGGTTATTCAAGATTTGAAACGACGGTTGGTAGTTCGGTTCATTTCGGTCCCTGGGCTCAAAGACAAAATTAATCACTTTCATTTATTAGAAAATTATTATTTCAGTTGAGAGACAGACAGCCAAGGTTCAGAGTGGTTCTAGTTCAAGTCCAGCTGCTGCTAATTCTGGCTCAATCGAGCAGACATTTGAAAAAGTTTCAGGTACATTTTTTCATTGATAAATGTTAAATATTCACCTACTGTTATAGCAAAAAACCTTGGCGTTAATTCAAAACGATTGAACAATTCTTTTTCTGTCTTAAATATAAACAATCAATAAACTAACCCAATCGGAAACGGAGACGGCCGAAGAATGGATTTGATCTTTGATTTCTCAAAAAAAAAAATCAGGTTTAAAATTATCAAACCATATTGTTCACTATCATTCCGTCGAGTTGTCCTTAGAAATAGTTTACAGTATTCAAACTCAATATTTCATGAAACCCATATAGCAACCCTTAGCGTTACATGTTAATGCAAAGGAGGCGTTGCATCAATGACATTTTTCAATATCTCAGTAAATAATGGTGCTAGCCGGTTCTACTTTTGCATGTATACTCATCTGATGCTCTAGGAACAGGATATGACGTCAAATCTTCAATGTCTCCGTTCGGAGACCGGAGATATGGGATAAGGTACCTCCGTCGGCTCCGATTTTTTATCTCCGGCCCTAATGAACTTACAGAGCCCAAATTCAACACACATATACCTAAGGACCTATATAATTTAATAAAAAAATGCGTTTAAAAAAATTTTGATTTTTTTTTGCCAAGACAGGGTGTCAAAAAACGGCATTTTTTCATTTTTTTTTAAATGTCTTTTTTGGGGGTGTTCCGATAAAAAATAACGAAAGAGAAAGGGTACAGAAAATGTTTTTAAAACTATTATGAATCTTTTTTAGAAAAGGCGGTTTTCACCCCCTGCAGGGCGTCCCAAAAAAATTTCCCACTAATTTTTAAATTCTTTGAGTTTTACTATCAATAATAATGTTAGCCGGTTCTAATTTTGCATGTATACTAATGTGATGCTCTAGGAACAGGATATGAGATCAAATCTTCAATGTCTCCGTTCGGAGATCGGAGATATGGGAAGGTACCTCCGTCGGCTCCGATTTTTTATCTCCGGCCCTAATGAACTTACAGAGCCCAAATTCAACACACATATACCTAAGGACCTATATAACTTCATAAAAAAAATCTTCTAAAAAAATTTAAATTTTTTCTTGCCAAGACAGGGTGTCAAAAAACGGCATTTTTTCATTTTTTTAAAATGTCTTTTTTGGGGGTCTTACAATAAAAAAAAACGAAAGAAAAAGGGTTCAGAAAATGTTTTTAAAACTATTATGAATCTTTTTTAGAAAAGGCGGTTTTCAAAAAAATGTTCACATCACCCCCTACAGGGTGTCCCAAAAATAAATTTCCCACTAATTTTTAAATTCTTTAGAGTTTTATTATCAATAATAATGTTAGCCGGTTCTAATTTTGCATGTATACTAATGTGATGCTCTAGGAACAGGATATGAGATCAAATCTTCAATGTCTCCGTTCGGAGACCGGAGATATGGGATAAGGTACCTCCGTCGGCTCCGATTTTTTATCTCCGGCCCTAATGAACTTACAGAGCCCAAATTCAAAACAGCTACACCTGAGGATTTATAAAATTTAATAGAAAAATAAAAAAAATTATTTTCGATATTATCATAAGAAGACAGGGTGTCAAAAAATTGTATTTTTTTCATTTTTTTAAATGTATTTTTTTGGGGACTTCCAATTAAAAATAACGAAAGAAAAAGGGTACGAAAAATGTTTCCTAAACTATTATGAATCTTTTTTCAGAAAAGGTGGTTTAAAAAAAATACCCATCACTATCAGGGTGTCTTAAAAATATTTTCCACTCATTTTTAAAAATCTATCAATAATGGCGTTAACCGGTTCTACTTTTGCATGTATTCTAATCAGATATCCTAGGAACAGGATAAAAGGTCAAATCAGTAATATCTCCGTTCAGAGGATAAGGAACCTCCGATGGCTCCGATTTTTCGACTCTGGCTAGAATTGACTTACAGAGCCCTTATTCAAACATAAACATCCAATGACCAAAACATAGATTAGTTATATTCTGTCCTTGTACCTAACTGTCTCTGTAAGTAATTTTTTTCATTAAACCAATCAATCATTTATTATATCAAACAATCAATCATTCAATCAATAATTCATTTATTCCGTCATCCTATCTTTCTATCAGGCATTCATAGTAATAATAATAATAATGTATTCAAGTAGTAGTATGATGGTCTAGGAACAGGAAATGAAGCAATGACTTTCTTCACAAACCGGACAGAACAATAAGGTACAACTGAATCTTCATCTACATTTTCTTTTTTTATCTCGAGTCTTGACAGAAATATCAAATCAAATCTAAATAACAAACATGTATCTTTCAAATCAAGATTTCCGATGACAAAAAAGTTGTTTGTACTCAAAATGTACACACATTCAGCAATATTGTACACTGCAGTACATCAATACACAAAAGAAAAACAGGTTTTTTCGAAAATCAATTGTAAATAATTAAGTCTCTTTGTCATCTTTAAGCCATGGAATGTAAATCATGCAAAAGGAAGTTTAAACGTAAAGACCATTTAAAAAAACATGAAGAACAATGTGTTGTTAGTTTTAAATGTGAAGAATGTGACTAGCCAATGGCAATCTTCTTTGACGCGTCTTGGTAAGATAATTAATTCAATTCTCTTGAAACTAGAATTAAAAAAGGCTTGGACAAATACATTAATAACAATACTTAGGTTTCGCGTATAGAATTGTATTTAAGGAAAATAAATACCTTTATTAATTTCAACTGTTTTAATAGTTGAAAGATGCCATGCAGACTCGGGTCTTTTCTAAAAAAGATTCATAATAGTTTTAAAAACATTTTCTGTACCCTTTCTCTTTCGTTATTTTTTATCGGAACACCCCCAAAAAAGACATTTTAAAAAAAATGAAAAAATGCCGTTTTTTTACACCCTGTCTTGGCAAAAAAAAAACGAAATTTTTGGAAAAATTTTTTTTTATTAAATTATATAGGTCCTTAAGTGTATGTGTGTTGAATTTGAGCTCTGTAAGTTCATTAGGGCCGGAGATAAAAAATCGGAGCCGACGGAGGTACCTTATCCCATATCTCCGGTCTCCGAACGGAGACATTGAAGATTTAACCTCATATCCTGTTCCTAGAGCATCAGATGAGTATACATGCAAAAGTAGAACCGGCTAGCACCATTATTTACTGAGATATTGAAAAATGTCATTGATGCAACGCCTCCTTTAGATGAATCCAAAGCACGTATTTTCACTCAATTTTCCATTTATAGGATAAATCTTAGTAAGTTCCTTTTTTAGAGTATTTCAGCGAGGATATCGTAAAGAAGACCAATGCTGTTTTTGCCTTCAGTATTCCAGGTAGAAATAGGGATTTAAAGGGAGTGACCGGCAATTTATGTTAGTTGAGCTGAGATTGCAGTATTATTGAGAATTTCGTTTAGAATTCATTTGCAGGGTTGATAAATCCCGGGTTTTAATAAAAACGGCCCCGTGGGTTTCATTGGTTGTTATTGGGTTTTACAGGGTTTTTGTATGCTTCTTTTTGGGTTTTCGATTTAAAAGTAGTTAAAACCTACTACTGACATTCATACTTATTCATAATAATATGACTATTTAAGCAATAGGAAAACTTTATAGTTATGAAAAATAATAATATTGTTGTGATAATAGGCTAAAATCATATATAAATACTCTTCAATATACAATAATATTACTTTCATATGCATAGGGGGAATACTGCAATTTTTATATTACATTTCTAAAACAGCCTAATTCTATTTTCTCACTTAGATACATATTTCTGATTGCGGGTGGGGCTAATCAGATTAATTGCTAGATATTCATATGCTTAAGAAGGAAGACCACTGTTTAATAGTAAATGCCGAAAAACTTCAGCTCTGAAGTAGTTCTGTGGATCTTCTTGGCTTTTTCAATATCTTTGATACTTGGTTTAAAAAAAACAAGCACCGCAGATAATCGATTGCTTCAAAAGCTTTCTACAATTGGATTTGTCAGGTCTAAAACCAGAAACCGTCTAGAAGTCCAGAGTGACAAGGTTGACTACTTTATTTCATTTAAATAACTCAATATTCGAACAATATTCATTTGTTAAGGTCATTGGTTTAAGTCTTAGGAAATGATGAAGTGTGTCAGTTTTAGTGCTGTGAACGATTAAAATCAATAGAGTTGATAGTAGACCTCATTTCTTGAACACTTTATAATTATAAGAGTGAAGAAAAGGCAATAATTAGAAAAATTCTTTAAAAAAAAACAATAAAACTCAAAAAAGCCCACTTACATGTGGGTTTTATTGGGTTTTTTATGTCAACCGTGTTCATTTGAGACCTTTCTGGCATTTTTACAGTGCATATTTGTTCAGCAAGAGCGTAAATTCAATATTTAAAATCCTCATTGGTTGTCCATTTTGGAGGGATGATTTTGACAATCGGTTTTATAAAAAAAAATTTAAAGACGACGAAGAAAAGTGTAACAAAATTTCTACAGTAAACTTATTAGATGTTTAGGAACATATTTCTCCATAAATCAATGTTAGAAGCAATTGTGTCTTTTTCATCACTATATTGATTTTCTTATTCTTCATGAATTTGTTCGCAGATTTCTTTAAATTCTTCAAATGGCGTCCTTTGATTAAAATTTCCAGGAAATCTACAGAAGATGTTTGTGAACAATGAGAAATTATTGAAACCATTAACTGATTGAGATTACTTATTTTCGATGATAAAAGTTAATTTTTATTTTCTCAACCTGTTCCTGAGCAACTAAGTAGTTTACTGTAGAATTTTTTGCTACATCTTTCGTGGTCGTCATTGAATGATTAAAATAAAACTGATTCTCAAAATCACCACTCCAAAATGAACAATCTATGAGGATTTCAAAGATTGCATTTGAGCTCTTGTTGAACAAATATGCACCGTAAAAACGTCTGATAGGTCTCAAATGAATTCTTTCAAAATTTTCTCAATAATACTGCAATCTCAGTTTAACTTCCATATATAGCCGGTCCCTCCCTTTAACTATCATATATAGCCGGTCCCTCCCTTTAAGGGACTGTCTACGTAGTTTCGTGTAACACATGAGGTGCTGGCCCAATTCACTACATTACATACCTTATATCTGAGTAAGAACGAGAAAGATGTCATTTTTTATCTTGAAGATAAATATATTCTGTCCATTTCCTTCCTTCTTTTTGTTGCATAAATTGGGTTCAATTGAAATTGAAAATATCAGCTGTCCCTTTAAAACATGGACATCTCAAAATGTTAAAAGACTGCTGTCGGGAACCAAGCATGAAATTCTTTAAATGAAGAGTCAAGAATAACACTCAGAGGATTTCCTCAGAGTGATTCGTCTTCAATCGGACCAACTTTTAATGTAATCATCTAAAATATCTTAAGACAACTTTCAAGATTTTTCATAGCAGTTTCTTATTTCTTGTTAAAATCGGAGAGCCTTTGAATAAAAGAGAAATGTTCTGAGCTGAAAACTTTGAATGGGATATCCTTAATCCTGATCGGATAATTAATCTGGAGATTAAAAATGAGAGGAGAACAAGCATTATTTAATCTGGAGATTAAGAAAAAGAGTGGATTAAGCATTAATCCCGATATCCCCCATTCTAAAGTTCCCAGCTCTGGTTATACAGGGTGTCCCACGAAACATGACAGTTGGGAAATAGTTTAGAATGTCTTCTTCCAGAATTTTTTAAGTTGTTTAATAGGAAAGACAATAATAAAAATATTATATAGGAGTCATATAATAGTAAAAATAGCATTTTTCGAAATGTCTTCTTCTATACCTAATAAAAATAGCAAATATTTTATATCATCAAGTCAGTTTGAAATTTTATGATGCCATCTCAAAATTCAAAACAGTATTTTTTATATTACAAAAATACTATTTACCACGCCAGCAAACATAATTATGATATTGTAGATGATAACTCTGAATGGTATATTGACCTGAAGAATGGTGCCGGCAGCTACGGTAAGGGTCAACCTGCCAGTGCAGCTGATGTTACCTTCACCCTTAAATCAGCTGATTTTGGCAAAATGTTCAGCGGGAAGTTGAAGCCAACCACCGCCTTTATGACCGGCAAGCTGAAGATCGCCGGGAATATGGGGAAGGCGATGTCCCTGGAGAAGTTGATGGGAAAGATGCAGAAGAGATCCTTCTCCACTTCAATCCAACCTCGTGAGTAAAATCTGTTTCTAAATATCGTCTTCCTAATTATGACAGAGTCAAATTTTGCGAAATAGTCTGACTTATAGTGGGACCAATACAACTCTAGAAAAGGAAGACGACTTGAGCTCAAGTTCTGATTTTAAATACTCTAGTATATGAAAAATTCAAGGCAACAACTCATATTATCAAATATTCAGCGAGTCGGTTTTACAATTTATTATTATTATTTACACAAACACGAATAATACGAATCAATAAACATGAATAAAGATTATCCAGAGTGAGGGAGATCTCCAGGGGAACCTATTATTCAGGGAGCTGGTCTTCAACTGCCATTTTTCCCCAAATTTCACTCCACCCTAGCCTAGAGCTTAACCCTAGTTCCCCGGGAGCTGGCCGGCCATCCCACCAGCGCCCGGGCCTCTGGAATAACGGAACAATTGGCGTGGCTTGGGTTATCAGCGTGGCTTGGGTTATTTATAGGATTCACATACAAACACGAATAAATCCGTTAGATCTGTACAAGGGATAGAAGAGGAGGGGAAGGGGTGAAGGAGAGAGAAAAAAAAAACCCTTTTTGATCGCAGGAAAGATCAACACATCACTTTCCTGCTACAATACAACTCTAGAAAAGGAAGACGACCTAAACTCAAGTTCTGATTTTAAATAATACTCTAGAAAAGGAAGACGACTTCAGCTCAAGTTCTGATTTTAAATAGTCCTATGAATATAAAAACCAGCAATTATGCAGTGTACAAAGAACAATATTTTTCATTTACTGATAAAACTTGCTTTGTAATAACATCAAATACAAAATGAAATTGTTTAAAAGTCGTCTTCCTATTCCACAGTATTATGGGGCTCTATGTTTATTTTATCTTACTCCTGTTTTCCAATGCATACCTTCCTCGATGGAAAATATTTTATTAATTGATTCTTTGGTACACTGATCAATAATTCAAGAACTTACGGGAATTTTCTATTATTATCATTTATTTTTTTTTAAACTTTTTTTCTCGTCTTGTAAATAATTTTTTTTATTGTCTGTAATATTTGCTTTATCTTATCTTCTTATTATGATAAATATTTGTTTTCACTTTTACAAAGTGGTCGGCAATTATATCCATACAATGAAAACGACTATATAATAAAACAAGACATTCGTATATATTATCATATCTACACTGTACTTACTGTATATAATACACATAATATCTACAATGTACTTACTATTTATACTAAACATCATATTTACACTGTATTTACTGTATATAATACACATCATATCTACAATGTACTTACTGTATATAATACACATCATATCTACGCTGTACTTACTGTATATAATACACATAATATCTACAATGTACTTACTATTTATAATAAACATCATATTTACACTGTACTCAGTACTCGTCGTATCAACAATTTTTTATCCAATACATATAAGTACACATCATATGTAAACTATACTGTGCTTAGTACATTTTAATTCTACTACTCTGAAATAAAAAGACGACTTTAGATCAATGTATTTTATGTTGTTACAAAGCAAATAGTTTTACTTGACTCTTAGTAAATCATTATTTAAGTAAAATGGATCTTTTACACTTAAAAATTGCGGTGTTCAATGCTCTTGGACTATTTAAAGTAAAAAAAAATAGTCTAAAGGTCGTCTTTTTATTCCAGAGTTTTCTGGTTACAACTGTAGTACAATGATTAACCTTGAAATATATCTGAATGTATTGAACTGTAGAATAGATTTACAGTGTCATCTCTACTCATATATATATATTATCATGCAGTTTAGTTCCTCACAGATCACGTGTATCTTTGCAACTATTTTAAATTTTTCTATCTTTGTATTCTTGTTTCTATATCTGTACCATTGTATCTGTATTTTTGTATCTGTTTTCTTTTATCGCTATTCTCGTAGCTATATCCTGGTATCTGTATCCTTGTATCTGTATTCTTTTATCGGTATTCTCGTAGCTATATCCTGGTATCTGTATCCTTGTATCAGTATTCTTGTATCTGTATCATTGTATCTTTGTATTCCGTCCTTTGGCGGTTATTTTTGAAGGGGTCTCGGCTTTGTTTTCCACGGAATAATAGTTGGTCTTTTATTTATTCATTTATATTTTATTTATTTATTTATGTATCTTGATTTCGCGAAGTTTTAACTTGAATCTTAGATCTTCGTATATCATCGTATCTTCTAAATTCGTTCTTGAATTGCCTAATTGCTCAAATTCATCAATGATTCATGTCATGTATCCTGTATCATCGTTCATCATGGTATCTTCCCAATTTGCAATTCATTCTTGAATTCCATAATTAAATATATTTATTAATGCCTAATGTCTGGTAAACTGGAAACCTGTAGTTAAGATGAATATCTCTCCTAAATATTTAATCAGTGTGAGAAAATATAAAATGTTTGTTAGAAATGCATTTTCAGGGTTTGGTTAAATACCAGAAAATGCATCTTCTGTGCAGGGACAAATCTATCTTACAATGTGTAAATTATGAGGAAAAAAGTATTAAAACAAAAACAAAATTACTGTTCAGGTTCACCAAAGAGCAAGCTTTAAGAAGGACCCAGAGCAGAATTGAAACCTGAAATCTGCTCACTGTATACTCTGAGTACTAAACCAGGATTGAGAGCTTATCTCTTTAACCTTGTAAAAACTGTTTTGTTATAATAATATATTTCTATTTTAGAATTATTGCTTCTTTTTTCTACTCGCTATATATTAAATTCTGTCGATAATTTTCATCTACAGGGTTACTCTCAAAGCATGACTATTTTCTACGACTGAAATATATACAATTTCCACATTTAAGCAATTGTAAACTCGGTTCTTTCTCTGCCAAATCATTAAATAAGCTATTTAAAGACAATTTTAAAGAGTTTCCAAGTCTCATCCTTTGTGGGTAACCCTGTATTTCGAATGGGAATTGTATATAATTTGTTGATATTCTATGAGAAAGGCTGGTTGGCAGGGGTGGGGGGCTTTAATAGGGTAATTAAGTCCCTTTTAGAAGAGAACCATAATTGAAAATTATCAATTTTAAATAGAATAAACAGGGATATCTCCATCCGTTTGTCTCGGATAAAAGTTTAAAGGGTACCAGTGTAAATCGGACTAGAGACTCTGTAAATGAAGGGTTACTTCAAATTACAATTTCAGACTCTGTAAGGTTGTGAGCTATTTTTTAAACAGAGAAACATAAATAATACGTGCTGGCAGCAAATTACATGATATATAAATAATAATAAAAATGCCAGTAATATTTCCTACAATTATACAAATTGTTGAAAATAAAAGAAATGATCGGACACAGTTCTTCCTGAAATATTTTCTGTCGAGTATATTATAAAGAAATAATTTCTTAGATAAAGTGTGTCCCACGAAACATGACGGTAGCAAAACGACATGAAAGTCGTCTTTGAACTATGAATTTATTTGTGACATATAGTCGTATTCGCCTAATCCTGGCATTTCCAAAATGTGTTCTGTCTTTTTAGTGCTGTCAATATTGACGGAGAAATTAAGAATTTCTGTGAGATTTTTTATTAAATAAAACCAAAATCAAAAAAAAATACTCATATCTAAAGTATATTAAAAGCTAATAAAAGGCACACACATTTTTGAAATGCCTTAAGACTATGGGTATACATTGGTAGAGGAGTAATGCAGCCCGCCCTGTCCTTTCTTACCTGCTCAACCTCATTGATACAGTGGTAACCAGAAAACTCTGAAATAGGAAGACGACTTTAGACTAAAGTTATGATTTTGGAACAACATAAAATACACTAAAAGGTATTTCATTAAAGTCTTCTTCCTATTCCTGAGTTTTCTGGTTGTACTATATGTCTACTTTAAAGGGGCTTAAAGAGCATAATTTCAAGAAATCTTCCTTATAAAGATGGCGATGCCTGATTCACAACGGTACCCTTAAAAGATTTGTCTTTAGCTAGTATAAATTTGAAAATAACAACATTAACATTATAGCGGATTAAATGGTACCGTTGTGAATCGGGCATTGCCATCTTTGGATAGAGGTCCACTTAAAATTATGATTACAGCCCATTTAACTTAACCTAGCCTGGAATAGTGTGTGACCTGTAATGTAACATTTGCATATGGAATGTTCTTCTTTCGGCTCTCTTCTTTAAAGTGGCACCTATAAAGTTATGGAGTAGGAATGAAACATTTATGAAACTTAAGTGTAATTTTTCATCCTTACTCACTTCATCGTGACTTTCATAATGAACATAACGTAAGCATCTTGCTATAAAGTTAAATTAGCTGAACATTATAGCACGAATGCTATAACGTTTTGATCGGTTCCCGGATTTTCTCCAAAAAAAGGAATTGAGTCTTTGCCACAAACTCTGATTTTCTAATCCCAATATTTTTGGAATCCAATGTCGTAAACCTTTGATATTTCAAACTTATATTATTTGATCTAACAAAAGTCATAGTTTGAAATGTCAAAGGGTTACGAGTACGACGTTGTAATCCAAAGATATAGGGATTAGAAAATCAGAGTTTGTGGCAAAGACTCAATTCCTTTAGGATATTTACAGAATATTTTTTTTTCAGTTGGAATGAAAATAAAATTAAAATCAAATCTTGATTTCTGCTTTGTTTTTCAAAGCTTATTAGATTTAGGAATGACCATTAAAATAAGACAAGTACACAAACGTTTCATAAAATTACCTATAACACTATTATTTTGGCACGACGTGCTATAAAGTTTTTGGACTTAAATTTTCTCTAAGGTTCTCCATAAAGACAATATTTCTGTCGAAAAACTTTAAACATTGCGAACCAAAATAACAATGCTATAAATAGTTATGAAGCAATTTAAAATGTGTACTTGACGTTATAAAGCAAATAATGAAGCAAGTCCAATGTGTTTGTGCACATTGCACAATTGCTGTATTTACTGTTCATTGAACTTTCCTCTTTTTTATCTTATGTTTTTTGTGCTTTTTCTTCAATACTATTTTTTCTCTTGTTCTTTAAGTTAATTTTCTTTTATATAGTTTTCCCGTGTATATTTTGTATTCTCTTTCAAATCTCTTCCTAGAGGCAAAATTTAGGATTAATTTAAAATCCCATGCATTAGATGCTGTGCATTAGTGATTACTTTATGTTTTAATTATATCTGTTTTCATTCTTCTTTATCTTTTTTTCTATTCTGCTAATTACGTTTTTTGTCCAATTCTCTTTTTGTCTCTTGATCTTTAAATCTTCTTTTTATATCTTCAATTGTTCACCTCTATTTTGTACTATATTCACATTCAAATCAAAAATCCTATGTGTTGTTGCCGTGCATCAGTGTTAACGTTTAAAATTTGATTGTTCATTTAAAATCTGACCCCTGCAGTTTAACAAGTTTAAACTCTGCCCCTTGTAAGGTTGTATAATTAGGTAGGCTACCCTCGATGCGCTCCAATGTACGGAAAATGTTATCTCTAAAGATAAATAGAGAAAACCTAACATGTCGCCGCTCTCGCCTTCATAATCAGTGACGTCAAATGAGGTGTTTATCTATCTACCTTAAAAAACAACATTTTCCGTTAATAGGAGCGCATTGAGAGAACCCAACCTTATTATACAACCTTGGCCCCTTGTGAGTTTAATTCTAGACACGTGATGTGAGATACAGAAATATAGGAGTGCCTTGCTCTTCTCAACCCGGCCTGGCTCTGATCTAGTTTGGATCAGCACAAGGAAAAATGTTGGCGAAGGAACAATTCTTGTGCAACATTTTCCTTGCAATTTTGAACGCTATACGTGTGTCATGTGAGGGTGGAACCCCGGGACGCCATGAGCCTCCGCGAGCAGTCACGATCCTCCCAAATTTGCTAGGCAGACCGAATTTCCGCTATGCAGTAATACATCAAAATGTGCCTGTGTAATAAAGGAGGGTTTTTTAAACTTGTGTTTTATGTTTTAATTAAAGGGTTTTTTTTATTTTCGACATAGTGGCATGAGAGGTTTCTCAAAGATGAAAAGTTTTTATCAATTATTATAAATAGTGTCTAATTATGACTAATAAAGTTGTAAATAAAACTATAAACATTTTTTACATGAAAAGGAAAATATTTAGAGAAAAAAATTTTAATTGAATTTCATTTAATCTTTAATAATCTTTGATTTAAGCGATACCTTAGTTATATTAAATTTAGAAAATTATTATTATTTATTTAAATCTTAACATTAAAAAAAAAAGATATTGTTTAATTCAAAGATTAAAACAAAACAAACTAAATTTACTCCAGAAATATTTCTCCAAATATCTTCCTTTCTGCGTAAGAAATGTTTAAAGTTTTAGTATGAATCTTATATACCACTTTATGAGGCCATATATGTTTCTAATCATGACAAACAATAAATAAGTATTATATCTTTAGTAAAATTCTTATGACACTACGTCAAAAAAAATATAAAAATTTTCGTTTCTGGTTTCTGCCAGCTTGCGGACTAAAAAAATTAATGGCATCACATTAAAGGGAGTGTAAACGTAATTTTAAGGGACCCTCAAGTAAAAGTGGCATGTCCGATTCTTAACGGTTCCCTTCAAGCTTTGTTTGATCAAGATAGAACTAGATATCCATGTTTTTGTTGTTGATAACTGATAGTTTTATCGTGGTTTCTCTACAAAAGTAACACGCTAGCTTCAGAAAAATGGAGAAATTAACAGAATTAAACACTTTATCTTCCATATTATCAATCAGATAAAGGGTTTAAAGGAACCGTTGTGAATCAGGCCTGGCCATCCTTGAGTCTATTCAAATTATGCTGATTGTCCATTTAAGTTTCCGCAAAACTATTTATGTTTGTGTATACTGGAGCATTAAACCGTAAGTACTAAATTTTGTTAAGTTTGATATATTTTTATTGCTTATTATTTATCAGGAAGTAGGTTTGCATTTATTTTTTCTCCGGGCATCTCTTAGCACACCCGGATACACAGGCACCGAATACACGGGCAGAGAATCCAGGACAAACATCAATACAGGCCTGCAGGACATCTCCGGGACAGGACAAGGAGTTGCTCTGAGATCCTCCAGTTCTTCTTGTAGCAGGAGCTGCGCCTGAATTCTTGTTTTGAGTTCTAGAACCTGATCCTGATCCTGATCCTTGGTTGAGATTTCCATTCCTATTTCCTCCATTATTATTATTGTTGCTATTGCGATTGTTACTGTTATTTTTTGGACTGCTTCTGTTGTTAGTTTTAGCAACAGGACTAGGAATATTGTTGTTCTGGACTTGAGCCCCCGATCCTGGGCCCATGGTTCGGTTTCTGGGAGCTCCAAGAGGTCCTGGACAAGGATTACATCCGTCCTGGGTTTCTCTAGGATCTCCTTGACATGTTGGATATGGTTCCCAGGTTCCGTCTGGAGTACAGGTTGACCGGATCTTGGGTCCGATGGGACACTCGAATGTGCAGAGTCCTCCTGGATTATCTAGGGAACAGTATCCAGGTATTCCTGGGCATATACCAGGGATCTGCTCCTCTTTACCAGGCTCATGTTCAATACATCGGGGTACATCAGTCCAGGTACCATCAGTCTTAATTCAAGAAAATATATTTAAATATTTAAACTATATACTCTATGTATTACAGGGTTGACAAATCTACATCATACAGGGTTGCCAAAATACTGCATTAGATATTAAAAGGCTTTTAACAGTTTATTTTGTAAAAAAAAATCTTTTGCTCAAATATATTTTACTTTGAAATTAATTTTACCATTGTATAACTCCAATATAATATTTTTATTATTGTCTTTCCTATTGAACAACTTAAAAAATTCTGGTAGAAGACATTCTAAACTATTTACAAACTGTCATGTTTCGTGGGACACCCTGTACTATTACTCACCATCAAATGATTGTTTCTTTACAATCTTCTTTTGCAATTTTAAATTTTTTTTCTATCTTAACTTATGTAGAATCGACCAATTTTTAATCAAATAATTAAATAATGTTTTGTGTAATGAACTGTAATTGTAAGGACTGAATGAATGTGTAATATTTGTAACCCTATATTTAATAGCTATGCAAACCAATGAAATCACAGAAACCAAATGAATTTAAAGAGCAATTAAATAATATAATTTCGGTTAGACCTTCTTTAATCTGAAAACCATAAATAATAAAATTTAGGAATAAATTTTTATCCATAAACTTTAACCCTTGATGATATGGTTAATAACAATGGTTTTTAGGATACAATGCAGCAAATATTTAGGTTAGTTTTGAACCACGTTGCTCACAAGAAGGAACGCACAGATTAATATAAAACCATCGTGTTCCGGAACAAGTACTTATCTTACAAAGATTCATTTTCGTGAGTACTGAGTCCGAACTTAATGAATTTGAGCCGCGTCTCAGATCCGCCAAAAAAACCGGTTTTAATTGTGCGCCGGCTTAATTCTTGAAACATTTAATACAATTTAAAGTGGGACCAACGATATTTGAGCCGCGTCCCAAATTTAAGCCACGGCTCAAAGTCTTTAAATTCGGCCTCTGTTTACATATGTGTGGCTCTATTTTTGAACCTTAAAAAATGGCATAATAAGAGCATTTTTTAGCAAACCAATCAATGAGTATGTAATGTAGTGTTAAATTATAATGCTTTTTTTGTTCTATTTTTCAGCTGAATGTTTTTGAAATTGTTTTGGCGCCGCACCCAATCTAATATATGTATATTACAAATACATATATACACTATACAGGGTTTTCACAAATAATCTATTCAGTTTTTTCTTTAATTTGGTTAATTTCATGTAAAAAATTAGCTTTTTTTTTGCTAAATCATTTGTAAACCATTAAAATCTAAAGGCAACCAGAACCAAACATTACACGGGCATATTTTTTAAGTTTTTGGTCTCATTAACGTCTCATCTTTTGTTGTTAACACTGTATACAGTTTACAAATTAATATTATAAACAATAAAAAATAAAAATTGATTTAAAGCACAACTGTCACGGAACAATGAGTCCGCTTTGAGTTTAGTACTCGTGGAACAAGGAAAATTGATAATGTTAAACAAAGGTGTAAAATATGATAAATTGTTACTTTTGATATCTCTAATAAGAATCTCAGCTGCGGGGAGGGGGGGTTTATAAAAATTTATCAACAAAAGCTAATTATTCAACCCGTTTAAAGGGAGTGACCGGCAATGTATAGTAGTTGAACTGAGAATGTAGTAATGTAGAAAAAAATTTAGGATTCAAGTTTTAATAATGTATAATCGCAAAGTTGACGTTCAAAATCATCAGGCGACGTCTTGAGAATCGATTTTTTAACGATGAAAAAATGTAACTAAAATTCTAAAGTAAACCAATAGGTTGTTAGGAACAGGTTGAGAAAATAAAAATTGACTCTTATTATCGAAAATTTATTTTGGATTGAAAAAAAAACTGTTTTCTGGCTTTAACGTATATTTTTTACGTTATCACAATTAACGATCAATAAAGGAAAATATCTTTTTGATGCAACATTTCAATAGGAATGGGAAATATGTAATTATTAAACTCAAATAAAACCCTGTACAATTGTGGAATAGAAAAACGTCTGTTTCTTTCTAAATATGAGTTTAAATACAGGGTGTCCCACAAAAGATGATAGAAGATGAATAGTTTAAAATGTCTTCTTCCATAATTAATAGAGTTGTCGATATTAAGGAGAATGATAAAGTATATAAAGTATATTGTATTCCAATTTTATTATTGTAAAATTGATTTCAAAGTAAAATATATTTGAGAAAAAAATGTTTTTTAACGAAATGACATGCAAAATATAGTATATGGAAAAAGACAAAACTATTCAACAATTGTCATGTTTCGTGGAACACCCTGTAGTAGGATAAACATAACAAACAGGAATTGTACACTGTACACAGTCTCATTTCGATTAATAAGTTGGTTTGGAAGCTTTTTGCTTTGTCGCAAGAATATTAAAATGTCTTCTTCCATTTCCACAATATTCTAGGGTTTGATATATACTTTGAAACATTTCAAATGACATTTCAAAAAAAGAAATTTGTGTTTTGAAATAGAATAAAGATTTATTCATGTTTGATTTTTAAGTTTATGTTTTTATGTATTTATATATTTATATATTTGTATATTTATGTATCTATATATTTAACAAAAACATATCTATATACTCATATATTTATGCATTTATACATTTATATAATGCATTTAAATATTTATATATTTGCATATTTTTTATTCATAAATTTCTTTATTTGTATTCATATATTTATGCATTTATATATTTATGCGTTTATATATCTATACATTTATATACCTATATATTCATATATTTATGTACCTGGCAGGTTGGGACATTATTTCTACCCCTGGCACAGACGACATAGCAGGTGTCTCCGGGATAGGACTCAGAGCAGTATCCGGGATATCCAGGACACGTGACTGGACCAGAGCTAGCAGCTTGTTTCTTTCCTTGACGAGCAGGAGTACTCACAACTAATAAAATATAATTTAAAAAAAATATTTTTACATTTTTACCCCCAAATTACTGTCAATTACTGTACTTCTGACTTTAAAAAATCATTAAACATTTCAAGTTGAGATATATTTAAAGGGACTGTAAAGGAAAAATGAAAGGGTATTGGCTGAAACCTGAGAATCTCAGGAGTTGAACGATACCTATAAGACATCTATCTGATGTTCCTGTCTCGAGAAATTGGCATATATGTTATATGCAGTATACTGGTCATGTGATACAGACGGAGACACGTGGTGACAATAATACTGCACTGCCATTAGTCGGAGTTCTGGTGACATAATATTATCAATTATATCTATTAAAAATGAAAAATTATTGAATTCAAATAATAATAGGAGCAAACTTGAGTTTCTCAGGCTCCTCTGGGATATCATCGTTTTCAGATTGGTTGCGTATTTGCTGAATATGATCTGTTTAATACTACAAATCTTATACAAAATCTTACATATATATATATATATATACGTTTTAGTATAATTTTGACACAGTTTCATATCAATTTCTCGAACATCAGATAGAACTCTTATATGTCTCAATCAACTCCTGAGATTCTCAGATTTCAGCCTGTACCCCCTTTCATTTTTTCCTATACAGTCCCTTACAGATTATTTCTTTTAAAAGAGTTACTAGGAAGGGTTATGGTAATGAAAAAACTAAGCTTTTTTTAACATGTATTTTTGGAACACTGTAAACTTCGTATTTTTATCCACTTAAAAAAACAATGAAATCTACAGTTTATATAATTTCACAATGTTTCACTAATTATATTAACTATAAGCTTTTTTGCAAAATTGATAAGATGTATGTCCAAAAATGTAAATCAGTTCGGACGTACGTACCGAATTTAGTTTGATTACAATAAATCAACCTTTATTTTTATAGATATTTATCGACTTTTTTATTTGTTCTCTTTCCTACAGTCACAGATGTTTAATTCCAGATAACAAAAAGATATTTGCAGTTCTAAAGACGACCAAGTTTAAAATCTAAAAATATCAAATTAAATTTTGTTCGTCGCAAAATAAGTCCATGATTACAAAAAGGTGCGGACTCTAGCGTTTCAAAAACCTGCCTTATTTCGAACAAAGATCCCCCCCCCCATTTCTAGACCTGGTTATTAATATCTAATCTCGATGTTGACGAGAACAAAATAGGCCTATATAATCGTATAGCATACAGTGTGTACCTAAAACACAGAATTTCAACTTTTGACTTAACTGTCTTTAATTGATAAAAAGGCCAAGTTTGTGTTACTTAAGGGAATCAAGATTTGATGGGTTACCCACAATGGATCAGACTTTGAAAACGACATGAAAATATTTAGGTTTATGAATAACTACCAGCAAGATAAAACAACTTATTTTGCATTTACCATTTTTTGGAACTCCCTGTATACGTATCAAAACCTATTACTAGACTAATCCTAGCTCTGGGCTTACTACATTTAGATAATACAACCAGAGCTTAGAAAATATTGATCTTGCATTCGGCATTAAAAGTTAAGCACTTAATAAAATTCTGCACAGCATTGCATTTGCCAAGCTATCGTATATCAAGGACAAACAAATCATGGATTACTTTTAAAATCCCATATTCGTAAATTACAACATGGGTGTCTTATATTAAGTCAAAGTATAAAAAATTTGATTTGAGCATTCGTTTTTAATCCCAATTTAATTTTTTACTCCGATTTAAATGAACTGAGTCTAAAACTAAAGAACGAAAAGTTTTGACTTAAATTTTAAGTTCATGGTTAAATGCCACTTTTGACTTAATTTAAACCTGAACTTTAACCGTGAGGTTAAATATTTAACCTTGTGGTTAAATATTTAACTCGCCGAAATCGACGAGTTAAAATTTAAACAGATGTTTAAATTATCTTGAAATCCTGCATTTTCCATATTTGTCTTTTATTCAATCTTCATTCAGCTGCAGCTGAGAAGCGGCATTCAACTTTACGATATATTTAAAAGTGAAAACCTTGTTAAAGAAATTTCACGTTTTAGATAAATTAATTTTTGGGTGTAAACCCAAAAAACGGTTGTATGTTTTGTTTTCGGTTACGTAAGAACAGCTGATTAGCGATGGTTATGTAATATTCTCCATAAATCCTTTTCTCTGATTGGTTCAGATTTTTCCCGGGAAATTCAAATTTAAAATTGAGAAAGTTTAATATTTAAGTCGCTATTCATTATTTTACAGAACTTTTAACCTCGAACTTAAAATTCGCGCATTCTTTAGTTTTAGACTCTGTACAGTGTACACTGTATTACAGTGATTGCAATTCAAGATCTCAAGAACTCCCCTGATTGCAATACTTTCCTAACTTTTTAAAAAGTTTTATGATTATATATATTTGATTATTGCTAGGTGACAGAGGTGACATCTTGACAGGGTGTTATTAAAAGTCAATTTAAAGTTTAAAAATAATAATTTAAATCTGAAATTATTCTCGGCATTCAAGCATGGAGACTCACGGCAACAAAACCAAACCCATTAATTTCTTTCTTTCTGACATTTCTGATTTCGTGAAAATATATTATATTCGGCATTAATCAATTCATCAATTCTTCAATTAATCAATTCATCAACTCTTCCATTAATCATCCTATCAATTCTTCCTTTAATCTATTCTTCCATTAATCAATTCAATAAATTCTTCAATTAATGAATTCATCAATTCTTCCATTAATCAATTCATCAATTCTTCCATTAATCAATTCATCAATTCTTCCATAAATCAATTCATTTATTCTTTCAATTAATCAATTCATCAATTCTTCCATTAATGAATTCATCAATTCTTCAATTAATCAATTCATCAATTCTTCCATTAATCAATTCATCAATTCTTCCATTAATCAATTTTTCAATTAAGCAATTCATCATTTTTTCCATTAATTCTTCCAATTAATGAATTCATTAATTCTTCCGTTAATCAATTCATCAACTCTTCTATTAATCAATTCATCAATTCTTCCATAAATCAATTCATCAATTCTTCCATAAATCAATTCATTAATTCTTCCATTAATCAAATCTTCAATTTTTCCAATAATCAATTCATCAATTCTTCCATTAATTATTTCATCAAGTTTTCCATTTATTAATTTATTAATTCTTCCAAAAATTAATTCATCATTTCTTCCATTAATCAATTCATCAATTCTTCCATTAATAAATACATCAATTCTTCCACCTATCAACTCATCAATTCTTCCAATAATCAATTGATCAATTCTTCCATTAATCAATTCATCAATTTTTCCATTCATCAATTAACTAATTCTTCCAAAAATTAATTATTTCATTTTATTTGTTTTGATTTAAAAGAATTCTGATTCCTTAGGTCGGTTGTGAACATTGGCTGTTCTTATGTCATTGAGTACTTGTGGTGTACATGAGTTCTGTAGAGAGAAATTTAAGTTAGTTTAGTCCTTCTCATGTCCTTCTTCAGTTCTCGTCAATATGATATATTGCTCAGTGAAATATTGTTGTTCAAATAGTTCCATTCCCGGAGTTATTTTACACTCTATTCTGAAATCCATTAAAACACCAAACCACCCCGCTTATCATTGAAGTACACTTTGACCCCTAGAAGTATGAGTTCGCGGACTGTACAATTCTTGGTGATTTTGCGTACATAAGCTATCTATGTTTATTTATTTATCTATGATCCTTCCTCTTTAATTCTTTATCCTATCCATACTTTCTTTTTAATTCGTTATCCTATCCACACTTTCTCTTAAATATTTTACCCTATTCATTCTTTATCCTTTCCATCCTTTCTCTTTTATTCTTTACCCTATTCATCCTTTCTCTGTAACTCTTTATCCTATCCATCCATTCTCTTAAATTCTTTATCCTATCCATCCTGGTTCTTTATTTTTTTATCTTATCCATACTAGCTCTTTAATTCTTTATCCTATCTATCCTTTCTCTTTAATTCTTTATCTTATCCATCCTTTCTCTTTAATTCTTTATCCTATCTATCTTTTCTCTTTAATTCTTTATCCTATTCATCCTTTCTTTTAAATTCTTTATCCTATGTATCCTTTCTCTTTAATTCTTTATCCTATCCACCCTTTCTTTTAAATTCTTTATCCTATCCATCCTTTCTCTTTAATTTGTTATCCTATCCACCCTTTCTCTTTAATTCTTTGTCCAACCCATCCTTTCTCTTTAATTCTTTATTCTTTCCATCCTTTATCTTTAATTCTTTATTCTATCCATCCTTTCTCTTTAATTCGTTATCCCATCTATCCTAGCTCTTTAATTCTCTATCCTATCCATCCCTTCTCTTTAGATCTTAATCCTATCCATCCTAGCTCTTTAATTTTTTTTAGCATATTTATCCTTTTACTTTAATTCATTCCATCCTTACTTTTTAGTTCTTTAATATTGGATATACATATAATTCTTTTTCATATTTCAATATTTTTTATATCCCGCCTCTTTTTTAGTTTTTCTTTGTGTACGGTGGTAGGCGATTATTTCAATATAATGAAGACTGCTTTCGATTTCAATTTTGATTTATATCAAGCTTTTTAACAGCATGGATTCCATGGATACACAAAAACATGAAAACAAAGAGAAACTGTAAATAAAAAAGCTTTGCTTTATTTACTTGTAAACTTGTAATTCGAAAAAAGCTTTTAGTAATTAAAACTTCACTTAAAATGTCGTCTTCATTATATTAATATAATCGCTTACTACCGTATTACTCTTTGAAAATTTATCTTTTTATAGGAAAATGAGATCTTTTCAGTAACTGAGTAATGTTATGAATTTAATTTGCCCTTTTTTCACCTATTGCCAAGGAGAGTGAGAGAGTAAGATAGAAAGAGAGCGCCATGACTATCGTCAAGCTCGCAGGAGATCTGAACGGTATAATCCTCAACACACAACTAAACTAGAATACAAGCAGACGGGTCAAATATACTCAGCGCATCTTCAAGCTTCATCTCATCCCTGCCAATTCTACCACCAGACCCCCCTTCTTTACCATACTACAGTGTGTCCCACTGAATACGACAATTGAAAGAAGACCAGCATTAACGTAATTTTAAGTGACCTACTATTAATAAAGGGACATGTTCAGTTTATAATTGTACACTTTAAACCTTCGCCTTAGATACACTGCTCCACTGAATGAGTTATCCCTCTTTTCTGTCTTAAAATAATCATTTTCAATGTGACTCGCAAACTAATTCATATATTTTTCTCATGGTTGAATAGCTAGATAATGATTTTATAAAGTTTGTTTTGAATCTTCATGATAGAAACAATCTCAAGAACTGACTAGGATCAACCTAATTTTTTAGATTTCATGTCTCTTTAATACCAGTGAGCTGACCTGTGTTTTAATCTTTGTGGTCTGTTTTAATAACAGTAAGCTGACCTGTATTTTAATCTTTGTGGTCCGTTTTAATAACATTAAGCTGACCTGTGCTTTAATCTTTGTGGTCCGTTTTAATAACAGTAAGCTGACCAGTATTTTAATCTTTGTGGTCCGTTTTAATAACAGTAAGATGACCTGTGTTTTAATCTTTGTGGTCCTTTTTTATAACAGTGAGCTGACCTGTGTTTTAATCTTTGTGGTCCGTTTTAATAACAATAAGCTGATCTGTGCTTTAATCTTTGTGGTCCGTTTTAATAAAAGTAAGCTGACCTGTATTTTAATCTTTGTGGTCCGTTTTAATAACAGTAAGCTGACCTTTTTTTTAATCTTTGTTGTCCGTTTTAATAACAGTAAGCTGACCTTTATTTTAATCTTTGTGGTCCGTTTCAATTACAGTGAGCTGACCTTTATTTTATTCTTTGTGGTCCGTTTTAATAACATTAAGCTGACCTGTGCTTTAATCTTTGTGGTCCGTTTTAATAACAGTGAGCTGACCTGTGTTTTAATCTTTGTGGTCCGTTTTAATAAGATGTAAGCTGACCTGTGTTTTAATCTTTGTGGTCCGTTTTAATAACATTAAGCTGACCTGTATTTTAATCTTTGTGGTCCGTTTTAATAACATTAAGCTGACCTGCATTTTAATCTTTGTGGTCCGTTTTAATAACAGTGAGCTGACCTGTATTTTAATCTTTGTGGTCCGTTTTAATAACATTAAGCTGACCCGTATTTTAATCTTTGTGGTCCGTTTTAATAACATTAAGCTGACCTGTATATAAATCTTTGTGGTCCGTTTTAATAACATTAAGCTGACCTGTATATAAATCTTTGTGGTCCGTTATAATAACAGTAAGCTAATCTGTATTTTATTTTTTTTGGCCCGATTTAATAACAGTAAGCTGACCTGTGTTTTAACCCCAAAGTGACTATATGTGAGTTCAACGATATATCTGGTCCTTGTTTTGTGGGACACTCTGTATTAGCAAACCGCGTTGTTTGAATTTTATTACTTTTACATGAGTGAACGCAAGTCGGTTCAATAATACCCTCTTAGATACAGGGTGTCCCACGAAACATGACAATAGCAAGACGACTTGAAAGTCGTCTTTGGTATTTGAATTTATTAGTGACATTTAGTCTTCTATCTACTTTAACATGTATGATTCTTGAAACAATTATCACATAATTCTCCTAGCCCTGGCATTTCCAAAAAATGGTCTGCGTTTTTTGTGCTTTCAATATTACCTGAGATATAAAGAGTTTGGTTCAGATTTCAATTTTGTTAAATAAAAGCAAAATTGTCGAAATCTGAACGAAATTCTTCATATCTCGGTCAATATTGAAAGCACAAAAAAGGCAGACCACATTTTGGAAATGGCAGGACAAGGGAAATTTTGCGATTATTATCTCTAGAAATTTACTTCTAAAATTAGGTTGACAAATAAACGCAGCAAATTATATCAAAAATCAAGACGACATTCAACTCGTCCTGCATACTGTCATGTTTCGTGTGACACCCTGTACGTAACAGAAGCACGGAAATAATGACATATAACCCAAATTTTGATTTTGGGGCTATTTACATCTATAGGTTAGATACAGGGTTACCTTCGAAAGATGAGACTTCAGAGACGACTGCACGGAATTTATAATGTCTGTTTCATGATTTTCAGGATTCCTTTTCAGAAAAATCTTTAAACAACCCGTTAAAAAATGTATTTAAAGCAACATTGAATATTTGTCATATTCGAGATTCAAGTCGTCTTTACAGTCTCATCCTTTGTAGGTAACCCTTCATATATGTTTATCTACCGAAATATTAATTTATTTGAAAAAAATATGTTCATTAAAGGGACAAACCGGCGATGTGGACAAATTCTTTAGGATTTATTTCTTAAAACTTTTAAAACAAGAAACTACAGTGAAATCCTTAATAACGAATACATCGAAAGAATTCATCAAATGTCGTATTCTTCACTTTCTGATAGTGGAATGTTGCAGATATTTAGTTTTTTTAATTAAATGATTATCTGGAGCTCTTTAAAACTGTTCCCGCATATTCATAGCTATTTATTTATTTTCGCAAATACTAAATTTACGTAAAATAGTTTAAAACCCATTGAAAAATTGTAAAGACGACATTTGATAAATTTTTTCGACGTTTGGCTTATTTAGGGTTTAACTGTATGAAGTTTTTTCTCCAGGGGTGAACGTTGGTATTTAGGTTGATCCTTCCTGCATGGGGTTTAATTGTACCGTACGGGGAAGGATGGTAGGATATTCCGACCTTCACTTTTTTGAGTTGTCTTGCACATTGCACATGGTAAGCCGCTTTGAATTAAAAGGCAGAGAGAGCATGCGCGTAACTCCTTTGGAATACTGCATCAGCGATATCAAGCCTTGAAAAGACGACATCTATTGTTCTATCTGTATTGTTATTAATCTATGTCAAAAGTCATTTATTTGCTTACAATGTCAATTTTAGCTCTCATAGCTCGATGTTTCTTCTGATCTTTGTATTATTATGAATGTCGTCTTACTTAATGTCCCCTCAAGGTTTATTTTCATTCGCAACTTTTGAACATTATGGTAAACGGAGCGAAAGCGATGTAGAGAATAATGATTTTTTAATCTTTATTTTATTGATTTTATTAAAAATAAAAACATGAAAAATTATCACTTTTAAAAGTACTTTAAAGGGAAAAGTGGATTTAATTTCCATTTATTAAGTGTCTTCTCCGGTTCACAAGACGTCTCTTGAGTCTTGATCAAGATTTAATAAGAAAATAGTTTTTTTTAATGAATTAGAAAATTAGGGATATTTTGAGATTTTAATCGGCATTATATCGACACAATAAAGACGACTTTCGTTTAAAATTTTGATTTAAGATAATGTGTTATAGCATTATGAATTCACTTAAAGATGGAAACAAAAAGAAAAAGTCGATTTAAAAAGCTTTTCTTTAATTACACGTAAACTTGTAATTTGAAAACGCTTGTTTACAATCAAAACTTGAATAAAAATGTCGTCAACATTGTATTGATATAATCGCCGGCCACTGTAGAAAAACAACTAAATCTTCTTCATTCTTGATTTTAATTTTATTAATGTATAAAAGAAGTCAGTTATTAGTCTCTGAAAGGAAAATAAACATTTCGAATTCTATTCTTAAATTTTCAAAATGAGCAAGAGTATTTTTGACTTCTTTTTCAATCTTGATGTTCGTGGCCCCCCTAATCGTTGAATAAATAATATTCTTAAATCTTTATTCTTTGTCTTTACTCCTCTCCGGGTTTAGTTATTCATTTCTAAACTAGTCTTGAGGGAAAAGATTTGAGATTCTTGTCAATCAATCCCAACCCTCGGATCCTCTTCTCATCAGTTTACCAGGTTTACACCTTATCCTCGGAGAATTTGAATATAAGAGAAGGAGAGGAGAAGGAGAACAGAAGGAGAGGAGAAGGAGAGGAGACGGAGAGGAGAAGGAGTTATAGAGGACGTGAGTCAGACTCTAATAAAAACGCATGAATAACTTCCAGTATATATATTTCTTATAACTTATTACTAGAGGGTTCAGAACTAGAGTCAATATCGATATCATATGTTTAGATGTTTTTTCAATACTATGCCCCGTATCTGTTCTATCTCATTCTTTTGAATCTTGTGGAACTTGTTTAACGCGGCCAGGCATCGTCTTCCACAAGACAAAAAAGTTATGTTTTTATGCTTTATTTTTGCCAAATCATTAAATAAGCTAATAAAAGAGATTATTCAAGGAGGAATACTTAATTTAACATTAAAATCATCTATACAGAGGCCGAATTTGAATTTTTCAAGATTTAAGCCGGCGCTCAATTGAAACCGGTTTTTGGTATTTGAGAAATTAAATTCATTAAATTCGGACTCGGTACTGTCAGAGTTTCAGGCCTTTAGAATAGATTCTTTGTGGGCAACCCTGTCACGACAAACTAAATTAAATTGCAATGTTTTCAATCATAATTCCTTTGATTAGAGAGCTATTGAGAAGATTAATAATTTCCCTAAAATATGGTATGAAAATAAAAGACACTTTACTAAGCTTTCAAATATCAATCTTATTTCGAATATTAAACAGAATTTATATATAGATTGAAAATTTTTATCAGCAGAACAAATGTTTATATTCTATCACATGCTATGCTTGCAAAAGAATCAAAGAAAGCAAAGACGATTTTACAAAGAAAAGAATAAAATCATTAAAGAGATTGAAAGATACAATCAAACATAAAGGATTTCAAAAATCGGCGCGAATTAAAAAGATGCTTAAAAATGCCCATTTTGCGTAGAACCTATATCTTTTTCACAATCCATAGAGCCTATTTTAAATTTTTTTAACATTACAAATAAATCTCTTTTTATTTCTAAAAGTTGTTAGTTCATCGTCGAAAAATACTAACCATCCACCACCAGTTTATATTAAATATAATGTAAACAATAAATTTATAACTATCCTTTCCTTTCCTTTTATATATTATTCTTC